AATAAAAAAATGAAAATTAGGAAAAGTAAGAAAATAATATTCAAGATGTAAAGTAGGAATAAATAACAATTGTTTTTTAGCTAATACTTAAAATTGTATTATTGAAACGAGAACAATCTGCGGCTTAAGGTACCTTCCCAAGACCTTATAATGAAAAAAAAAAATTGAAACATGAAGAAAATAGGATCGAAGAATTGTATAAGAACTAAAAGCTGGGCCTCTTAACAATAAATAAATAAAAATAATAATAAAAGTTAACAATAAAAATTACACTATTGGGTCGAGTAGGACTTGCAGCTTAAGATACTTCCCCGAGACTTACAATGAAAAAAAAACAGATTTAGAAAAAATAAGAAGATAAGATTTAAAAAGTAGGATAAAAGTTAAAAAATAAATTTCTACTCAACAACAAAAGTTATATTATAGAGTTGAGTAGGACTTGGCGTCCAAGGTACTTCCCCGAGATTTTATAATAAAAAAAAAAATTAGAAAAACTAAGAAAAAAAAATTCAAAATGTAAACTAGGAATAAATAACAATTGTCCGCAGCTTAAACAACTTCCATGAAATATTATAATGAAAAAAAGTAGATGTAGAAAAAATAAGAAAATAAGAATCAAGTTATGGGTTAGAAGCTAAAAAATTAGTTTCTAGTTAAGAATAAAAATCATATTATTGAATCCGCGACTTTAGTTACGTCCCTAAATATTATAACGAAAAACGATAATTAAAATATTTAAAAAAGTAGATTGAAGACTTTGAGCATAATTTAAAAAATAAATTTAACGTCAAATTGACAAATTTTAACACCCAACAAATTCAAGGCACCCTTGACAACTTTTTTGTCGATCATATGGTATTTTCATTTTTTACTTTGTATGAAATTTTAGGTTCTACCGCTATAAGTCAATGAAATAGAGAAAAAAATGTGGACGGAGCTGAGTTTAGCTTTTTTCCAAAGAGTCTTATAAGCAAACAGTAGTCCCACCCACCTCCCCCTCTTCATTTCAAGGACTGTTCTTAATATTGTTCAGTTTTACATTAATAATTATTATCCCCGCCCACCCGCCCCCTATTTTCTTAGATAGTATATCATTTGAAAAAATTAATCTTAACTGAACAAGTATTAGCCCCGCCCACCCTCCCTCTATTTTCTTACCTTTAGTGTCACAATTCATATATTTTTCGTGTTAAACTCTAGATATTAAAATAATAATAAAAAAAAGTAAAGGAAGTGAAATTTTCTAATAAAACTTTGTCAGAATGTTATTACCTCTTTAAAGGGAATAAATGCATTAATCTTGTTGCGTACCATATGTAAAACTAATAACATCAGTAATGCATTGTAGTGTCCCATTTCGAAATGAAATTTAGCGCCAAAAAACAAACAAAATCGCGAAAAAGTTTTAAAAGAAAGAAAATAACATTGAAGATTGATTTAAGAACTATAAAATAGACCTCCAGTTAGCGATAAAAGTAAAATTATTGACTGGAATAGAATCAGCAGGTTTAGAAAAATTAAGAAAATAAGACAAGTTGTAGGCTCGAAGCTCAAAAATGAGTTTCTAGTTAAGAATAAAAATTACATTATTGAATGATTTAGAATCGACGACTTAAACAACTTGCCTGAACTATTATAATGATAAAAAGAAGAATTAGAAAAATTAAGAAAACAAGTTTTAACACGTAGGCTAAAATTTAAATAATAAATTTTGAGTCATCAATAAAATTATATTATTAAATCGAGTAAGACTCGCCGCCCAAGTACTTCCCCGGTATTTGATAATAAAAAAAGAAGATTAGAAAATGTAAGAAAATAATATTCAAGATGTAAGCTAGGAATTAAAAATTTGGTCTTTAGCTGATAATGAAAATTGTATTATTGGAACAAATGTAATCCAAGGCTAAGCTACTTCCCCAAGACCTTATAGTGCAAAAAAAAAAAAATAGAAAAATTAAGAAAATAAAATTGAAGATTTGCAATTTATTTAATTTTCAAGTCTATATTTTTCACTTTTTCTACCTAAAGCTTCTCAAGTTTTCAATTTCTAAGTTTTAAATTTTTCGATTCTGTAATTTTTCATTTCTCTAAATTTTCGATTTGCAATTTTTTGTTTCGGTTTTTTATTTTCATTATTTTTACATTTTTGGATTTTCCAATGTTCTGATTTTAGAATTGTTTGCTCTATTTAAATTTTTTGTTTCACGTCTTTTATTTTCTTTGTTTTTTCAGTTTTTCGATGTTTTGATTTTTTATTTTTCTTTATCAGTATGAAATTTTTCAATTATTTGATTTGCAGTTTTTCGGTTTTTCAATTTTTGTATTCTTTAATTTTTCGTTTGTTCAACTTTGGACTTCTCAGTTTCTCGATTTTTCAATTTTTCATTTGTTTAATTTTTAATTTGCAATTTTTCTAGTTTTTGGTTTAAATACGTAATAATAATGATAATTTTTCAAAGTTTTCACTTTTTCAATTCTGGGATTTTAGAATTTTTCCATTTTTCAATTATCGGATTTTAAAACTTTTTCATTTATTTAAGTTAATTTTTCAATTTCTCGACATCTAATTTTTCAATTTTTCGATGTTTCAATGTTATGTTTTTCGACTTTACAACTTTGACGATTCCATAATTTTCCGATTTTAAAATTTTTGGGTTTTCCCATTTTTCGATCGATTCATTTCTTCTTCTTTCCAAATTTTTGATTCATTAATTTTTTAGTGTTTCAATTTTTCTGTTTTTCTTTGCCAATTTTCTTTTCTTCAGTTTTTCGATTTTTCAATATTTTAGTTCTTCGATTATTCAAAAATTTTCCAAAAAAAAAAGGTTAAAATTGTAGATTATCTTCAACCGAATACAAATCCGAAATCGCCTTCACGACATCTATTGGAATAAAGGTAATATATTATTATGGTTCCAAAATTTTCAAAAACTTCAAAAAAATGGTTAAAATTCCCGGTTCAATGGACAGAAAATTGGTGTCAAATTGTTGATAATCTTCCGCCAGTTACAAATCTGAAATCGCCGTCAGGATATGTGTTTCAATAAACACGAAAAGTGAATTCAAAATTTTCAAAATTTTTCCAAAAAGAAATGGTTAAAATCGGTTCAATCCACTGAAAATTGGTGTCAAATTGTAGATACTCTTCTGCCAATTACAAATCCGAAATCGTCTTCACGACATCTGTTAAAATAAAAGTAAAATATGATTCCAAAATTTTGAAAATTAAAAAAAAATGGTAAAAATTGGCTTAAAATTGGTGCCAAATTGTAGATAACCTTCCGCCAGTTACAAATCTGAAGTCGCCGTCGCGATATCTGATTGGATAAATACGATTTGTGAATTCAAAATTTTTGAAAATTTTCCAAAAAAAGTGGTTAAAATTTGTTCAATCGACCGAAAATTGGTATCAAATTCTTGATAATCTAAATCTTCCGCCAATTACAAATCCGAAATCGCCGTCACGATATCCGTTCCAATGAACACGAAAAGTGAAATAACAATTTTCAAAAATTTATCAAAAAAAAGGCTAAAATTGTGGTCAAACAGTATATAATCTTTCGCCAGTTACGAATCTAAAATCGCTATCACAACATATGCTCCAATAAACACGAAAAGTGAATTCAAAATTTTCAAAAATTTTCCAAACAAATGGTTAAAATCATTTCAATCGACCGAAAATTGTTGTCAAATTGTAGATAATTTTCCACCAGTTACAAATCTGAAATCGCTGTCAGGGTATCTGTTCCAATAAACACGAAAAGTGAACACAAAATTTTCAAAAATTTTCCAAAAAAAATGGTTAAAATAGGTTCAATCGACTGAAAATTGTTGTCAAATTGTAAATAATCTCCCTTCGGTTAGAAATCCGAAATCGCCTTCACGACATCTATTGAAATAAAGGTAATATATGGTTCAAAAATTTTCCAAAATTTTCCAAAAAAATTTGAACGTTTAGCGAACAAACTGAAAGCGGATTCGTATCTTGCAAGTGCCGGAGTACATTTTTGTATAACATTCAAAAATCATTTTAGAATACGGTTCATTGAGATGACTTGATCAAATTCTTGATGAAGATCAGTAGCCAAATTTTGGTCAGCATTTAACCATCTACATATTATAAAATTAAAAAATTAATAACATTCACAATCAGTTAAACAAATTAAGTTTGATTATAAAACTTAGAGCGGATTTCACCAACCTCAGTTAAAGTAACGAACAGTTAAAAACAATCGTTGTTATCATTATAATAATCATTTCTATGGATTTATTGTATCATTAACTTTAATTGAGTAGATTCTCTTATTTATCAATATAAAATCCAACTTCCGCTCCTTAGAACCAATAAGAATGAATGGGCAAAAAAGAATAGGGGTGAGTGGGTGGATTTTAGATTCTACCGATGTCAAAATAAAATTTAATTCCCATTTTAGAGCAAATAAAATAGGTCAATGAAAAAGAGGAAAAAAAAAAGGTGGGCGGAGTTGAGTTTAGCTTTTGTCTAAAGAGTTGCTGTTGAAATAATTATTAACTTACAACACGTGGTAGAAGTTCACTTATTCAGGATTAATTATTTAAATTCTAATATTTCGATCTAAATGGCTTAATGGTTTTCCTCAAGTTATTATGTACCTTTAGTACCTTCTCATTTGGTAATTTTAAAATATATACAATCAAACACATACAGATTATGTTCTTTACATTGATCAAAAATACGAAAATGTATGTGAAACTAGCGAACCCATTACTTTCAAGTTTAAGACATCTTTTAAGATCACAGTAAGAGTAGTAAATTGATACTTTCTATATGTCTTTTCATCCCTTCTAAAGAAACAGTGACGACATATCAGAAGATTTTTTCTTTAACGACTGTTATATTTAAATGAAATACGTTTCCCGCCATCAATCTCGCTATAGGTTGAAAGGTGATGATGCGAAATTGAGGTAATTTTTGCTTGCGGCTTCATACTTTGTTAAAATGTAAAAATAAAAACCGTCCCAAAACTAAAATACTTCTCATTTATTAATCAATATTCTCTGCAATTTTACATTTCGACATAACAAATATTAACAATGCTCTCAAATGAAAACACTCGACGAACCTTCCAGACGCTGCAGTTACAAAAATATAAGTCGGGAAGACTTCGTCCAATGCGCCAAACTTAAAGTGCAAGTGTTACAAAAATTAAAAAAAGTACGTTTATTAAAAATTTTAAAATACAAAACTAAGCAACAATAAATTAGGTATCTCCTTGCAACAATAAGACAGTAAAAATTAAATAGAATAAATGCGAAATAAAATCTTCGTTAGTTGAGAGACGGCGTCCCGAGCTCGTTCCATCGGATCTCTATGTTTGGCCACTTCGTCTGCAGGATGGTCAGCATCGGGTTCGACTCGCTGATGGCTCGTAGGTCGGACTCGAGGAGCACGCACTCGCCTATCCTGTATCGAATCTAAGAACACGATAATAATAATAAAACGGGAAAACGAAAACGTGGACACCGCTAATTCACCTGTCCGTCGAGGTTGCTCTGCGCCAAACCGTTATAATGCACAATTGAGAACAAGTCGGGCATTGGGTTATCCTCTTTGGGAAAAAACTCGTCCATAAAACTATTTAGTAAAATTATGCCTAAATTTTCCGGATCCAGTTTTTTCCTCATAATATCTACACTGGAAAACGTTTAAAATTAGAACGGTAATTAAAAGCACTTGGCACACTTTTATATAATAGTCACAGTACTGCCAACCACATGTTCAAATTTCAGGCAACTGTGATCCTATACTTTCAGCATTGTTTAAATATATTTTAGTTGGACAACCTAATACAAACTTTACTTCGCCTAAATTGTGAGCTTTGGGACAAGGAATCCAGGGGGCGTGGGACAAATTTTTTGTCAACGCGCATTTTCACTACGGGTATTAAGGCTTTGTTACTAAAAGACTTTAGTTTTACAAAATTTAGTAAAATTTAGGTTCGTGGTGTTACAAAATAATTACCATTTTTCGACTTTGCTTTTCTAGTTTTTCGATTTTTCATTTTCCAATTTTTTAATTTCTCAATTTTTTGGATATTTCTTTCAGTTATGAAATTTTTCAATATTTCGATTATTCGATTTTTGGATTTTTTTGATTTCTCGATTTTTTACTTTTTGGATTTTCAATTTATTGTTATACTTTAAATTTTTTAATTTTTCGGCTCTTTTATACTTCGATTTCTGAATTTTTCAAGTTTTCGATGTTTTTAAAATTCTAGGTTTTTCTCCTATATTTCAATTTTGAGAATTTTTAAATTTTCGATTTTCCAGTTCTTCCTTTTTGAAATGTTTCGATTTTTCAATTTTTTTATTTCTCGATTTATCGAATTCAGATGTTTCGTTGTTTTGATTGTTCAATTTCTCGATTTGTCAATTTTCTTTTCGGCTTCCGAGTCCTCAATTTCTCGATCCTCTGATTTTTCGATTTCTCGATGTCTCAGTGTTTGAATTTTTCCATGTTTCGATTATTGGATTTCTTGATGTTGCTAAATTTTCAGTTTTCCGATTTCTCAATTTATCTATTTTTGATTTTCCCACTTCTCAAATTTTCGATTTTTCGGTTCTTCAATTCTTCGATTTTTCGACTTCGCTTTGTTGGGTTTTCGATTTCTCAATTTTCCAATTGTTTAATTCCTCAATTTTTGGATATTTGTTTCAGTTTTAAGATTTTTCAATATTGCGATTCTTCGACTTTTCGACTTCTGGATTTTTCGTTTTTTCGACTCCTCGGATTATTCGATTTCTCGATGTCTTAGTTTTTGAATTTTACGATGTTTCGATTTTTTACTTTTCGGTTTCTCGATCTTTTTTTAAATTATCCGATTTTTCAATTTTTAAATTTTCGAGTTTCGCGATATTTTAATTTTTCAATGTTTTAAATTTTAGAGTTTTCGATTTCTCAGTTCTTCAATTTTTTAATTTTTCAAATTTTGACATTTAAAAATTTTCAGTTTTCCGATTTCTCAATTAATCAATTTTTTATTTTCCCATTTCTCGACTTCCCAAAGTTTCGATCTTACAGTTCTTCAGTTCAATTTTTTGATTTTTCAGGTTTCTGATTTTTCAATTTTTCGATTCTTCAATTTTTCTTCTATTTTTAAAGTTTTCGATATTTGAGTTTTGCCATTTTTTAGTATTTCGACTTTTCGAGTTCTGGATTTTTCGATTTCTAGACTTTTTACTTTTTGGGTTTTTAATTTTCCGTTTTTTAAACTTTGGATTTTTCAATTTTTCAATTTCTAGACTTTGCGACTTCTCGATTTTTCGATTTTTTTATTTTTCGATGTCTTAGTTTTTGAATTTTACGATGTTTCAATTTTTCGATTTTTTTTTAATTATCTGATTTTTCAATTTTCCAATTTCTGAATATTCGAGTTTCGATTTCTCGATTCGTTGATTTTTCAGTTTTTCGATTTTTGAATTTTTATTTTTTGGTTTTTTGATGTTTGGATTTCTACATTTTTCAATTTTACGATATTTTAATGTTTCAAATTTTCGATTTTTCAGTTCTTCAATATCTTTAAATTTTTAAAATTTTGACCTTCCTGAAGTTTTAGCTTTCGGATTTCTCAATTAATCTATTTTTTTATTTCCCCATTTCTCTACTTCCTAAAGTTTCGATCTTTCAGTACTTCAGTTCAATTTTTTAATTTTTCAGGTTTTTGATTTTTAAATTTTTCGATTTTTTGAGTTTGCTGTTTTGACTTTTCGGTTTCTTAATTTTTTAATTATCTAATTTTTGGATTTTTAGTTCAATTTTGTGACTTTACAGTTCGATTCTACTATTTTTCAATTTTTCGATTTGAGTTTTGGGATTTTTTAGTATTTCGATTTTTCGAGTTCAGGAGATTTTCAATTTTCCGTTTTTTAAACTTCAGATTTTTCAATTTTTCAATTTCTAGATTTTTCAATATTTCGATTCTTCGACTTTTCGATTTTCGATTTTCAGTTTTTCGTTTTTTAAACTTTAAATTTTTCAATTTTTCGATTGTTATACCTATGTTTCCATTTCTCAATTTTTCAACATTTCCATATTTTAATTTTCCAATTTTTAAATTTCTAGATTTTTCGATTTTTCCACTTCCCAACTTTTCGACTCCTCGATTTTTCAATTTATTGATTTTTCGATTTGTCGGTTTTTCGATTTTTTATTTTTCGGTTTCCCGATTTTTTTTTTGAATTATGTGATTTTTCGCCAATTTTTAAATTTTCGAGTTTCGATTTCTCGATTCCTTAATTTTTCAGTTCTTCCATTTTTAAATTTTAGAGTTTCGAATTTTTATTTTTTTGATTTTTAATGTTTGGATTTCTCCGTTTTTCAATTTTACAATATTTTAATTTTTCAATGTTTTCAATTTTAGATTTTTGGATTTTTCAGTTCTTCAATATTTTTTAATTTTTCAAATTTTGACGTTTCTAAATTTTCAGTTTTCGGATTTCTCAATTAATCTATTTTTTCTTTTTCCCATTTCTCCACTTCCCAAAGTTTCGATCTTTCACTTCTTCAGTTCAATTTTTTGATTTTTGGGGTTTTTGGTCTTTCAATTTTTCGATTCTTCAATTTTTCTTCTATTTTTCAATTTTTCGATATTTGAGTTTTGCCATTTTTTAGTATTTCGACTTTTCGAGTTCTGGATTTTTCGATTTCTCCACATTTTACTTTTAGGATTTTCAATTTTCCGTTTTTTAAATTTTAATTTTTCAATTTTTAAAATTTTAGGTTTTTCGATTTCTCGGGTTTTCAGTTCTTCTATATTTCAATTCTCGGAATTTTTAAATTTTGGATTTTTCATTTTTTTTTTAATTTTTTCGATTTTTCAATTAACCGATTGTTTAATTTCTCGATTTTTAAATTTTAGATTTTCCGATTTGTATTTTTTTGATGTTTGGATTTATCCATTTTTCAATTTTACGATATTTTAATTTTTCAATGTTTTAAATTTTGGATTTTTCGATTTTTCAGTTCTTCAATATTTTTTAATTTTTCAAATTTTAACGTTTCTGAATTTTCAGTTTTCGGATTTCTCAGTTAATTTATTTTTTATTTTCCCATTTTTCCACTTCCCAAAGTTTCGATCTTTCAGTTCTTCAGTTTTTCGATTTTTCAATTTTTCTTTTATTTTTCAATTTTTCGATATTTGAGTTTTGCCATTTTTTAGTATTTCGACTTTTCGAGTTCTGGATTTTTCGATTTCCCGACTTTTTACTTTTTAGATTTTCAACTTTCCGTTTTTTAAACTTTAGATTTTTCAATTTTTTAACTGTTTTATGCTTCGATTTCTCAATTTTTAACTTTTCGATATTTTTACTTTTCAATTTTTAAAATTTTAGGTTTTTCGATTTCTGGAGTTTTCAGTTCTTCTATATTTCAATTTTTCAATTTTCGGAAATTTTAAATTTTGGATTTTCCAATTTTTCGATGTTTCGATTTTTCAATTAACCGATTGTTCAATTTCTCGATTTTAAAATTTTAGACTTTCCAATTATTATTTTTTTGATTTTTTCATGTTTGGAGTTCTCAATTTTACAATTTTGCTATATTTGAATTTTTCAAAGTTTTAAATTTTCGATTTTGAGGATTTACTGTGTTATATTTTGTGATAAAATGTATTTCAGTTTCAAAGATAATATGTATTTAATGATTTACTACTGTTAATAAAAAAACGCCCTCTCGGCAAGCAATGTTTGTGCGGTTCGATTCACACACATTCACACGAGTTTATCTCTCCCTCTTTCGACAGCGCGGCGTTACATACCCATGTTCAGACTCGGTTCGGTCCGGTCTCGGTGACCTCGACACCAAACACCGACACCGAACTCATAGCTGCAACTCGACATCCTATTCCGGCGCGTATACGAGTTCTATAATACGACAAGAAACCTTTATTTGTTTTTGTGCAAATATGCGTGCTACTACATACATGAAACAGGTATGCACTACATATAAACATATACATATATGCATAAGTCTTCAATACGTACGTTTGCTTATTTTGTGACTGCTCCCTGTACAATGTACTGACTAATACGTCAGTTTACTACCTTATCGACATCCCGTGCTTACACACTATTTTTACCCCCTTTCGTAAGGTACCGCCACTTCAAAGTGAAGCGAGGGAGATATAAAATATATGTTCATTCTTTTATACATGGGCAAGTCATTCTCTGTATAGGTTGTCCAACTATAACATACTTAAACAATGCTTTTATATAATAGTCACAGTACTGCCAACCGCAAGTTCAAATTTCAGTCAACTGTGATTCCTGTACTTCGATTGAGTGTGATAAAAGTTACTGAAATCTCCGCATCTAAAAGTAGTGCCAGTGTCAATTTTAAATTAATAAAAATCTGACGCCACAAATGCAAGAAAATTAAAAAATTAATGGTTATTTGTTGAAAAGATTGGTCCACTTTTTGTTATTTACATTTAAAATAATTGGTCCATTGTAAAGACTTACGAAGCAGCGTAGGAAAATAAAATCGCCAACGCAAAACCACCAAAAAAGAAAATTTTAGCAACAGCTAGTTAGGTATTTTGGGGCTGTAAGGTTTTAGTAACCAAGTTTAAAAATTGACACTTTCACTAAAAAAAACGACGTAAATTTTAACAAAAACGATAAATTCTGTTGTAAACTTCAGGTTTTAACTTTAAGCGCTCATAAAAAAACAACGAATGACTATAAAAACTACAATTTCAACTTACTATGCTTCTTCACTGACTAGATCTAAAGCTTGGAGGACATCTTGTAGAAGCGACGAGCTAATAAAGTTGTTCCCATCGGGATCAAAATGCTTGAAGACACGTTTGGCCTGATCTGTCTTAGTTTCAGGGCTCACGAGCCTCCTCTCTGTACTGAATAATACTAAAATCCCCAATTAACACAAACTCAAAAACCTAACCTAAAAACCTCACCTGTTAGATGAGTATCCGACCCCAACACCCAAACTGGGTGTATGGGATTCTTATAAAACGACCCCACTGTACAATACCTCAAGTGCTCCATAGTTGTAATGAACCCAATTTGGCTCTGTTTCTCCAACCCCTTCAATTCTAAAATCAACGATTAACCTAGAAACCTTATTACAAAATTTCCATGATTATTTCTCCACAAATTTAGTAAAAATATAAATGAAACGAAACCTACTCAAGCCGCCGACGTCTTGTTCATGGTCCCACACATAAGTAGTCGCTCTACCTGTTATCATAAGATTGATTAAACTCTGGCTGCCGTAGCCATAAGTGTCGTCAATTAAAGGCTCAGAGATATCGTGCGAACTATCAGACTGGACGCGTTCTAAACCCTGGACAGACATTTTTAGAATAGTTATCACGAAAACTCGCAATACAGACCCTAGTCATAAGAACAGAGTATAAAAACACCAAAATGCCAAACTGCGACTTCAGCAGTTGTATATTATCCAAATAAAACTTCCTAACTTCCTCGACGTTCTGGAACGTGTGTATCCGCAAATTTTCGTGAAAAATAAAATCCTCGTGGAACAACGTCGGTTCTAGCTCGACTCCGTTCTCCTGGTGGTTGGAAAACAACCCATCACTCACATCGTTCACGTCACTATTCAAAAACACTATGTAATACTTCTGGTTGTGACACTGTTCCAAAATTTCACTCAACGCATTCACGAGGAGAATATTCTGCATGTCCGAGGTCACCTGAAACCAGCAATCAGCCACCTTGCAAGCCCAAACGCTACTTTACCTTCTCCCGAAACGATAAATCTTTGTATTTTAGTAGCAAATTTTTTAGAATGAACGCTTGTACGGGGGCTAGGATGGCGCAGGGGCCGCCTTCGGATTGCTCCAAGGCTGTGGGTTCGCTGCTACTGAAGTAGAAGCCTGGAAGAGAGGACGGCGTTACGGGTGGCAAATGAGGCCTTTATGGGTACCTTGGGACCAGCGCCTAAATATGTCAGGTTTGATGTCGTCGCCCCAGAGGAGTTTCTTCACGTTGGAGAGTTCGTGTTCATGCGAGGAGGGCGACATTTCGGCCATTTTCGGTATGAATGCCACGGGAAGTTCGAAAAATGATGGAATTTCTTATTAATAAGCACTCGATATTTGAGAGGTTAGGATAGGGCGACATTTGGGAAACGACATTTGGGGGTGCCAACGGTGCGGCGTGAAAGGTGCTAGGTGGAAGGCGGAAAAAATCTTTAAAATAATAATGCAAAAAGAAGATTGAATGCGTAAAAAGTACTAAAAAGCATTCGTGTTTTTCGTTATTGGCTTTTATTTCCACGGAGAATATAAAAATTTTGTGTGTGTGTTTTTTTAATATAACGGGTTGCCTATATTGTAAAATGCCTGTTATTTATTTATTTATTTATTTGTTTATTTATTTATTTACTATATTTTTCTGCAGCGAAAGTAAAGTACAATTTTGTAATGACTATCTGTGCTTTTATTAATGGCTACAAAATTCCAGTGGCGTAGACGAGCCAGCGATTAGTGGGTTAAGGGGACTCTCTAGACGAGGTATAAAATTTGTTTGGTTTTTTGTATGGAAAAATAATATTAATATAGATGTATCATATATCAAACTGCAGCTTTTTTCATATTCTACAGCACAGAGACCTGTTCAATCAACTAAAAAAATATGGCTGAGAAATATCGTAAAAAAATCACCATTGTATGTTTTCTTTTCAAGTTTTTTGAGTCACAACCATCATAGAATCGCTTGAAAATTCGCACATGGATAAAACATCACTTTTTACAGGGCGCAGAGTCATTAAATGTTTGTTAGTGGTACAATTTGTTTAAATAATAATGTGTTTATTAAAATCAAAATATACCATAAATTAATACAAAATATGTTGAATAATTTTAACAGGAATATCAGAGGAAAATTAATGATCTATTGGTTAGCAGAGTTTTTAACAAAAACTAACAATTATTGAAAAAAATGGGTATCAATTCGACAGAATTTGAGCAGTTAGTTCAGTATTTTGCCGATAGGAGCGCCACTAAAATTTACGGAAGCGACTTTCCAGGTAAAACTCTTATCGCCTGCTCTACCACAAGCTGATTGTTAGAGTTCTCGGCTGATTTTTCTAATTTATGGCAAGGAACTCAGTTTTATAACAAGCCGCCAGGACCGGCCGTCGTAATCTATTGTTAAGGAAATTAACTTTTACACAATGAGGTACTATCATAAAACCGAATTAAAACTGCGGAACTATAATATTTTTACTCCACTCAGGATCCTGAATTCAATACACATGATTACTAAAAATTCATTGTAATATTATTGTTAATATATATTTTGCTTTGTTAATTAATAAAACTAATAAACATATTTATAATAATAATAAAAAATATATAAAATACAGCTTTTGTTTAACACGTATAAGTAGCTAAGTGTATCTACTACTTATCCCAGAAAGGAGGTGTTTTAAAAATGCCCTACGCCCAGTAACTTCTCCCTTCATTGTTTACTCGAAAAAAGTTCTCGTATATGTTTTCATTTGCCGAGAGATCATTTTCAAAATATATTTATAATAAAAATATGCAAGTCTTGGTGATGGAAAATGTACTTCTAATAAATTATTAAAGTACATAAAGAAATAGAAACAAATTTTATTTATTTAAAAAAAATCTCTCGCAAAGGTAGGTTCCTCTTTCTTCTTGAATCAATTATTTCGGGCAATAATGCGCCAAAGTAAAATCTGCCAAGTTTATCTGCCATCTTTTTACATATATTTCTTCGTCTTTATAAATTTTTTCTATATTTATTCCTTTGGGTGTCCACACAACAAAATAAACTTGTGAAATACCCGTAACAAGCATTTGTCCCTGGACTTGAAAGTAGTAATCATGATTTTTTTTTAGTTTCAATTCTCTGTCTGTCAATGTACAAAATTTGATTATTTTTTTTCTAACCGCTTCTTCGGGAGACAAATCTTGTGATTTTGAAGGGCATTTAATTTCGACTAATGCACTCCTATCCTCTAGAACCCTGTCTGGACTAGCAGCCAAGTAAGTAAATTGTTTTGAAATAAACAAGCCACACCGTTCAGTTTTTATATTTTTATTTATTTCAAAACACTTGACAGCTTTTTCCTCACTTTGCTGTCCATAGTATGTATGACTATTACCTCTAAATGTACTGTATAACAGAGACTCCACAGTTTTAGCAATTGCTGTAGTCGGTCTAAGTTTGTAAATACGTCCAAAATTTGAAGCCATAACCCTAATTTCTCTTTCTTTTGCCCAAATGTGCCTGTTGTCTAGTGTCTACTTCAATTTGATCTAAATTCAAAGAAAATTTTCTCAAAAAAACCTCTTTGTCTGTCACAAATGTTTCTACATCCATGACAGGATTTTCTAAAGAATATTTAAACCATAATCGCATTCGGGACCAGCATACGTAAATTTTTTTACGACATATTTTATTACGAATACTTTGTCTAAGACGAGCTTGTTTTATAGACGAACAATATTTTTTTGTTATTAAATCAGGACCGTTTTAATCACAATATATTTACTTATCCCCTGTAAAAAATTGATGACGTCACCTCAAAATTTTGCTGAATAAATCCTATCTAAATTGTATAAAATACGATGAGTCTCTTCTTGTGATTTATCATTCCGTTCATGTTTTTTGGATTTGCATATACAGGATGGCCCCAAAAATTAATGAATGCGTAAATTTATTTTATTGATTTAATCAGGAACTACAGAACCCAATGCTTTGAAATCTTGCAAATGTTTTAAGGTTATAAAGAGCATAATAAATTTTTAGTCAAAAAGAATTGCTGGTTGCGTTTAAGGCAACAAATGGCGCCCAATTCAAACTTCTCTCTCTTCTAGCGTTCCCCCTTAAAATATAACCAAAAATAATTTTTAGTTGAAAAATATAAAATTAGAATACTTGCGGGGTATTTTGAATTGTTTTATAAAATTGTATGTCCTCGTAAATGTTTTATATATATTTTTGAATTCGTAAACTTCTAGTCGTTGTTTACTTAAAATTGATTGATAACAAGTTAAATCTAACTAGGTCAAAGCTGTCAAATTAATAACTCGATTTAAGTCCACATGTGCACGTACAACAATAATCTTCTACTAAGTAATAAATATCAGAAAATAAAATAAAGACAATATTGTTAATGGAATAAGATTACTATTCACACACGGACTGATTTAACATTTGAAAAATTAAGACAACTGGTCTTTTCTTTGTTTTTCTTTGCTGCTTATTTTTTTAACGTTGGACATACACACAAATAATGTAATATTTACCTACTAATCGTCTCATATTGAAATAAGTGATATGTTTCTTAGTAAACCTAATCAATTATGTCTAGATAAACATGTACCTATAGCCGGTAAAGAATAAATTAAATAAATATTGAAAAAATAAGATAACATTTTATACTTTATTTGAGCTGATAGCTTGAGACATCTTTTCTAAAAAACAGAGTGTTCATTGGTTGGTAAGAAAATCATGATGTCCAAGATCGAAACCTTTGTAACATTTTGTTATGTTAGTGTTATTGGTAAGTTAAAAAAATGAAAAGAACACATTGATGGAATTTTTGTTTTGCTTTAGTGTTGTTAGGAGTGTGTTTGTATAACATGAATTACAATCTATCAGCGAAAAATAAGTTCCAAGTTCGGTAAGTTAGCTATAATCAAAAAAAACTGTCACAAAATTTCACTTTAATTTTTTTGTGTCTAGCAATTCCTGCGTCTTACCACCGCACCCAATGTCCGGGTGGTGGACCCTTCCAAACCAGTTAACAAAACCACCAAACACGGCAGTACCAACGGGTTCCACATTGCTAATATTTTGTAACCAAACCTACAAGTTGGACGGTTCAGCAAAATCTCTCTGTATAGAAGGAAAGTGGTACCCTAAAATCGCAAAATGCTTAAGTTAGTACCACTGTTATCACGTACCAACCTTGTTTCAAAATTCAATTTTACAGAAACTTGTCCGCCGATGCTTTCTTCGTCACTGATGAAAATCCAGTGTTCTTTTGATAATAAAATTATGAAAAACTGCACAGACCCTATTGATAATACTCAAGCTCAGTTCTTCTGTGCCCCGTATTACGAAGACGAAAGAAAGGTGAAATTTAAAGCGATTTGTAATAATGGAAAGTGGAGCGAACAAGTACCCCAGTGTGTACCAGGTGTGTAGAAAGTCAAAACAGTATACATTTGACACAATTTTGATGTCTTCGTTTTGAAAATAATCAGTATGTGGCCGCCGACAATCCAAAAAAGGAATGCCGGTAATCGCTAATGGTACCTTTAGTACCAAAGGAGAATTTCCTTGGCAGGTAGCCCTTTATCAAAACAGAAACAACATATGTGGAGGAATTTTACTACACGAAAGACTAATCTTAACAGGTAATCCAAAAACCGTAATTTTAAAATACAAAGCAAAATTTTAGCCGCGCACTGTGTATCTAATGCTGATGGTAACCCCAACCCCACCTACATCTACATTGTGATTGTTGGAAACCACTACCGGAGATACCACGTTGCAAGTCTCGAAGATGGCGCTCAAAGCTCTTCGGTATTTTTGGCAATTTTGAAAAATGATAAGTTAATATTTTTTTAGGTTCACGCTATATATGTACCTGATGGATATGCAGGTGGTGACAGATTTTATTACATTGATATTGCAATCATTGTCACGACAAAGACGTTTAAATTGTCGAGTACAGTACAACCTGTATGCATCGACTGGTCGACAGAATATGAACGTTTATTATATAAAACTGGAAGACCAATGGGGCTGGTAAGAACTATTTTGTGTACGAACTGTGTCAAAAGAATGGAACGTGAAAGTTTAGTTCTTGTATAATAGTGAGTAAATTATTTTGACTAGGTTAGTGGATGGGGTTATACCATAGAACACAGTAAACCTTCAGATATGTCAAGAAGTCTGGAACTTTCCATAATTGATAGAGAAAAGTGTATACATATGTTAGACGATGTAGAACATCAAGGGTACGTTACCGATGATAAAATCTGCGGTGGATATTTAAACAAAAGTAAGTTGTAATTTTTCGTGCATTTCCAATACAGGTGTATTAGTCTTGGGAAAATCCAATATAAAAATGGATTTTTCCATTTTAGGTAAATCGGTCCGCCACGGTGATAGTGGCAGTGGAGTAGTTTTCAACCACAAAGGCAGACACTATCTCATTGGAATAGTCAGCATTTCTTTATTAGCACAAACAGAAAATGGAAGCCGTGACAGTCAAAAGTACTCCCTTTTCACTCAAGTCTCCAAATACATAGACGATTTTATTTGGGAGTATTACGCCCGATATAAACCGTAAGTCTCTTCTTCGTGTAAATCTTGCTTTTGCTACATATTATTGTAAAATTCCACAGACAGGCCATCCCTCTAGTATATACCACTGCACCGACCACACACATTCACACTCAGACTAGTACTTCAATGGAAACCTCTACAACAACCCCCACCACTCCAGCAGCAAATAGGTACGTACGTTTGACCACAACGTGGCTACAATAACCCCGCTAACTTGAAGCACAAACTGCCTTCTAACCAAACAGCCAGAATTTGGTCAATGGGCGATTTATCGTGGTACCAGTAATTCCTCCCCAGGAACTTTCGTGAAAACTGGTACCATGCTGAAGATAGTGTGTCACGAAGGATACAAATTAGACGGAAACGACATACTTGCATGTGAAAATGGTACCTGGTCGTCTGACATCGGAAATTGCTTAAGTACTATTGTACAAAACTCATTTTTATGTCTACAATGACGATTTTAGAAATGTGTCCAACTATTGCCAGCACGAAAGTGATGAATATTACGTGTTACTTTAACATACGGAAACTGAAAAACTGCGCTGAGCCCGTGGTTGGTACCATTGCGAAGTACCACTGTGCTCCGTTCTATGAAGACGTGAAGTTGATGGAGCATTCTTTGTATTGTAACGGGAGTTGGGGTAATGCGAGTTGGACGCCGGGGACTCCCTATTGTGTTCCAAGTACGACTTTACTATCTATAAGTGCAATTTTATCTGTGTGATAAAAATTATAGAATGTGGACACAGATCAGTTAAGGACCCCGTGCTTAATATATCTGACGGTACCAGAGATTTTCCATGGGTAGTGGGGATTTATAGACAAAATGATAACAAACTGATATGTACTGGTACTTTATTAAGTGACAAAATTGTACTCACTGGTAAAGATTTAGAACAAACTTTGTGACGGTACTGTAACCAATGTATTCTAGTTGCTCGTTGTTTGGGAGACGTTAACGAAAAATTGCTATCTAAACAATACATTGTAGCTGCTGGTTCATATTTTTCTTCTAGAAGTTCTGAAAAAGTACAAACTTCTAGTATTCATCACGCTGATAATTATGGTTATTTGCTTATTATAGTACTAGAAAACGAGTTCCAATTTTCACGAACCGTTCAACCGGTGTGTATAGATTGGGAAGGAGAATTGACGAAAGAAAACGATGAAGGCTATGTATATACTCTTATTGTATTTTTTAATCATGTAAAAATATTTTATTTGAAATGTAGCTCAGTCTTTGGAACTCCAACGGTACTAGTATCAATTTTTCGCATAATTCTACAACTGCTAAAGTAAAGTTGGCATCAATTGAAGAGTGTAGGATGAATTTACCAGAAGAATATATGAATATGACAAACGAAAAATTGTGTGTTCATCATTCAGAGAGAGGTGAGCATTTGTGGGAAGTTGTAGTGATGTTTGTTGTGTTTTGAAACTTTCTTAGGTGCTCCTTTTTGTGCGATGGATGGAGGTGGAGGACTCTTTGTGAAATATCAAGATAAGTTTCACATTTTTGGTGTTATGGATGTGTTAAATACCCAAGAAGAGTGTGTTAATCGGGAATATAGTCTTTATATCCCTGTTAATTACTACCTCACAATGTTTAAAACGAAACTGAAAAACTGATACAAAGTTTGTAATATATAACTGTATTTAATTTATCCTGACTAGACTACCCGCTCCCGACAGTGATTCCTATTTAAACAGCCTCGCGTTCCTTCTAGAGAGTTCGCGACCGCTGCTTCGAGTGGTTCTGGACGACACCGCGATTCATGTAAACCGCTTTTAGGTTTTTCTCTAAATGTTCTGATTTTGACGAACTCATTTTGATTTAATCATTAACTTGAATTAATGCATGATTTACTAAAAGTTAGAAGATTTTAAATTTAAATAAACCATCATCGTGAATCAAGCCGTCTAGCGCATGCTGCGGCGGACAAATATACCTTCACGAGGAGACGCCCTTCGCGCCGCTGTCGCTGTATTTTTACCATCCAGTTACTTTAATTAAGATTTCTCTTTTTCTTTGTGTATGTAAATATGTGATATTTTAAATAGGTATTTGTATCAATTTGTGTTATTGGATTTCATTTTTAAAAGTTGGAAAGGGTTTTTGCAGCTGGTTTCCAGATGTTGCCCCATATTTTGCGTTTTATTTAAAGTCACTTTTCCAACCTTGTGGTTCATCACTCAAAAAAAAAACACAACGTAGGGTTCCATTTTGTTGACAAACACATTACAAAACAAGCATCAATTAAATTGGCATGGTTATAATGAGAAAAAACCCCGAAAGAATAGCAAAGATAATAAAGACAGAAAAACTAAAAAAAAAACATCGTAGAAGCAAACTAAGAAAGCAATGGTTAGAACTGATAGAAGAGAAAACACTAGAGATGAAAAGAAAAATACATATGGAAGAAGTGAGTTGAAAAAAGTGGAAGGAGAACGATAAGAAGAAGAATGTGTGGGGAAATTAGCAAACAAAAAACCAAGATTGTGGGAAATACTAAATGGAAATAAACAGGTAGAAGAAGATGGAAAATTGACATGAGTAGGGAAAAATGGAAAATCGGGGATACTCGTAGATCATACAGTTGTAAATACTGAGGCAGAAGAGGAAGTAACACATTTTAAGACAGGGCAAATGAGAAAGAGAATTACAAAAATAGAAAGAGGAAGATAGTCAAGAAAGGGAGATCAGAATTTGAAATGAAGAAGGGTACCAAACTTTAAGTCTAGAATGTTGGAAGCAGTTTTTAAAGTCGGCACCGTAGAACAAAAATTAGAGGAACTAGAATACTACACAAATGGGAAAAAACAGAGAAAAAAAGAAAGAAATTGCAAAAACCTGAAGAAATATAGTTCAACGAGAAGTGTCGCCTACTTAAGGTGAAAGCAAGGGCTTTCTTGCCACAATGGAGAAACGATAAAGCTATAAAAGAAAAATATTTACTACTAAAAAAAGAAAGAAGAAGAAGACGGAAAGCTGCAAACGGTGAGACTTACTAGAGAGAAAAAGGGAAAAGCAGAGAGTGTGCAAAAGAAAGATGTGATAGGTCTTACGAAAGGCCTGATTATATAGTGCGAAAGACAACAAAATGAAATAAAATAAGGGTGAATGCAAACATGAGAGCGGTATAGCATGAAGACCAAGAGAGAGCTGAGTGTACAATTTTGAACGCATGTTTTACACAAAAAGTTAAAAATGGTGCCCGAAGGTGTAAAAAGCAATGGAGAAAGAAGAAGTGGATACGCGAGTAAAGAAATAGAAAAGTTGAGGATGAGAGAACAGTGGATGGCAAGAGAAGTAAAAACGAGAGAGGTCAATGTAGACAAGCACGAGAGAATAGTAAAGAAAAAACGATAGACTGTGTAGGTTACCTATGTATGGAAGAAAGAGAAAACGTGGAACACTTGTTGGAAGAATGCACGGAGTTGAAAGAGCGTAAGGAAAATAAAAGAAAAAGAGGTGGAAAGAAAAAGGGAATGGCAGGGAAAAAAATCTTTATTTGATGTGTTTGATAAGAATATGCAATGTAGATCATATAAGTCCCAAATAAAGCATGTACGAAGATAGAAATCGACTCAAATACAGTTATTGCTTTATCAAATTTGCTTTGTGCTTCTTCGGACTCTATTATCTTCTCCAGATTCACGCCTTCTTCAAATAAAATGTCTCCATACAAGCTATAAATTTAACTTTCTTCGTTTTTAATAGTGTCGGTTGTGTCAGCTTGATTTGCTGCCGTTTTGGCACGGTTAAGACATTCAACATTGCAAGCCTGTTATGCCCGCACTACGTACTAGAGTGGTAGGAATTTCATTTTGATTCTAACGCTAACCCTAAGTTTTTTGGAAAGCATTTGTAGACGGAGCCTGGACAATTTCTCTAGACAAAGCATTCCAACCTACGAAAACTCGGTTTATGATGAAAAAGTGCCTAACCTGGGTACGGAAATGATCTTTTAGTAATTTAAGGTAGTGGCCCCTGGTGCGTTTATTCGGGTCGAGCGGGAACAAATGCCTGACCGGGGAATGATCGTTACTTAGGGCCTGATAAGCTACTATTAAGTCTCCACGTTTACCCCTATCAGACAAATTGCAAAGGTTCATTACTGCCAGCAGGACGGCGGTTGAAAAAGGGAATTCTTGTAGCTTTCCGCTGGACAGTTTCCAGAAGTAGGAACCGAAATGTAGACGTTTCCTTTACAGTAGCGGGGCAGTGGTCCAACCAAGTCCTCGCTGACGGTGTGCCACGGGCCATAGATCTGGTGTGGTTGGTATTTCCGGGCGGCCACTTCGGCGATATCGACGTCTTTGGGACAAGGCGTCCGCTACCTGGTTCAGGACACCCTTTCGACACCACCTCAAAGTCGTATGGCTGTAAGGACACTATCCAATGGGTGAGACGACCACGAGGATTCAACGACTGATGGTCCGTCTCGACAATGAAGTGATACGATGGCCAAACCTTCCTTCTCGACAGTGGCGTAGTTCTTTTGTGGTTCGGCCAAGCTCAACTCCCAAAAGCTATTATCCGGTCCTGTCCGGATATTTTCTGGATCAAAGCGGCTCCCAAGCCTTGGTCGCTGGCGTCGACTTGAAGTCTGATTGGCTGGAAAACATCCGGGCACGCGAGCCGGGTGCTTCAGTGAGTCTGCACTTTAGTAGCAGATTCGTGTAAATGCGGGCACAAATTTACGGTACCAGGACGCTACCCTTAACAAACGGCGTAACCCACGGACGGATGTCGGCGGCGACATGTCCTGGATCGCTTTAACCTTGTCTGGATCGGTAGAAATTCCATATTCGGAAACAACATGCCCAAGATATTTCAAAGATGTCTGGAAAACCGCACACTTCTCTGGATTCGGCACCAATTTGGCGTGACGAAACTTTCTAAAGACGGTTTTCAGATTGCTCTTGTGTTCCTCCCATGACTTGCCTAAAACAATAATTATGTCGGCAAGGTAGGCGAAGGCTTTACTGTCCATTTCCGGACCCAGCACAGCATCTAGAAGCTTCTGGAAACTCGCACAAGCGGAATAGAGATCGAAGGGCATCGCTCGAAATTGAAAGAGCCCTTGGTTCGGGACGGTGAAGGCGGTGATTGGCTTACTGTCTTCCGCAAGAGGAACTTACCAATACCTTTGCTTCAATTCGATACTGGAGAAATATCTGGATCCTCACAGTGTTTACCATCTTTCTTCTGCGTCAGGGCAATGGATGAGCTCCACGGGTTTTCTAAAGGTTCACTTCTGCATTGATTATTTTCTGCACGGCCGAGTTCCGGGGTCGATATCGCTGTTTAATCGGAGTCGGATCGATTAAATGGATTTCATGCACAGCCATATCGGTAGGCCCTTGTACCCTTTCAAACTTGGCCATTTCTTCACGGATGAAGTGCTCGGCTGGATTAGTTCGGACCGTTGAAATTGGTAACTTAGTCGGTGTGTCTTGACTAGCTGTCCATTGGCTACTTCAGCATGTACAGGAGCAGATAAGCGCGCCGGCTGACCTAAACAATCGGAACAATGTTATACCGTTTCTTCGCTGATATACGAGAGGACGAAACCTGGATGCTGGAGCGGTAAATTTTCGATTGCCTATGGATATCAGCCAAATAATACGGTTGACGGTGGTAACAGATGGATGGACATTTTTGATGTTCGTGATCGGGTAGGAATGACGGGTTTAAATATGCCCCTATTTTTGGAGACTGAACGAGGCTCTGGGTTGTACAGTCCCCTGGGAGTTTGTCGACGGCGTCTTACAAGGGCACTCCACAGACTTCACTCCTTTTCGGCCACATCGGGAACAGAATAGTTGTGGAGGTGACGTGCAGGCGAATCGCAGGTGACCGGCCTATTCTAATCTCCAACACAGGGATGATTTCTCGGTGGCATACCTCGTCGGCGTATTCGGTTCCACCTGTGACTGCCTTCGATTGACGGTCGGCTCTTGGTCGGCAATCCAAGTGTCCAAACGGCGAATGAGAGTCTGCATATGTCTTCCTCTAGCCCTTGTGGCGGCACAATAACACGTCGGTAAGCAGAGTAAAGATAAGTTGTCTTGTGGTGTAGTGGTCAGCATACCTGCCCGGAATGCAAGGAGACGTGGGTTCGAATCCCACCGAGGCACAACATTTTTCTCTGCTTACCTACACCCTTATTGATATTCGGTCGGAACGAAATATGTCTTGAACATGCGCACAAAGTCGGCCCAAGTGTGCATTTGGTGACGGTTATTGCGGTACCACAGGATTGCATGTCCATGTAACAATCCAGGTAGTGCTCTCACCAGGTGATGACGGGGTATGGCGTACTCGTCTGCCAGCTAGTTGACCCTTTCTAGGAAAGCGACAGTGTTCGCCTTGCCATCGAAGGAAACGTTCCACTTCCGGATCTGGTTCAGCATATCGGGAATCGACATGCCAGCGGGTGGACGTTCGAACGGTGGCGAATCGACAAAATTCAAGTGTGGCCTACAGAGGACGTCTTTAGCATGCGGCCACACCTGCCGATCAGCGCCTTTCTAGAGAACGCCCATCACGGGTTTCTACGTGGATGATTCGGTTGCTTTACGGGGAATAGATCCGGCAGATTTCCATATGGGCGGTTCGGTTGCGTCATCGGGAGACATCTGGCTGGAGAGTGGCGGAAGGAAAGTAATGCCCGCGGCGGCGGGTCCTTCCTTCAGAAAGGTCTTCATTCTGCGGGGAAGTTCGTCCAGACTTCCTTCGGTGGACAGCCCAAACCTTTGCATATCGGCCATTAGTTGCGTATTCTTCAGGATGTAGATCTATCCCACGCTCGTATCGGCCACTTCTAGGCCTACCGTCTCGGTTGCTTCATTCTCATCCTCGTCGGTCGACTGAGGATTCTTCGGAGACGGAAGATCACTAGTCGTCTGCTTCATAGTCCCTGCTCGGGCGCCAAATTTCTGTAACGGGTTTTTTCCCTTTTCGGTGCTGGGGTCGTCGGTTGAAGACGGCAACTTCCAGGACTTCAAAGAAAACCACTAGGGACTCAAGCATATGGTCGACGTACAAAAGGTGGATGGCGGTTGTGGGGTGGAACGCCGCGGTTAATGCCGAGCGGCGCTAGGTCGGGTCGCTTATCCCCCGGTTGATGCCTGGGGGATGGTCGGTTGGGACGGCGGTAATCCTCCGGTTGATGCCTGGGGGATGTCGGGAAGTCTTTCGATAAACGCCTGGAGGGTGGAAAGGTAGAATATCCCCAGGTTAATGGCTGATACCTGGGGGATGTCGGGATGTAGAATATCCCCAAGTTAATGGCTGATACCTGGGGGATGTCGGGATGTCCTCCGGTTAATGCCTGGAGGGCGGAAGGTTGGTGCCGAGGCACACTCTGCTTTTCCTGTGGAAAACGGAAAGCAGTTATAGCTGGTCTTATCTTCTGAGAAACAACAGATTGGACCCTAGGGGTTGAAAGAGTATCAGTGGATTCGGGGCAGCTATCAGTGTAGTGGCCAGTTTGCTTACACTTGAAGCAGATTTCTGTATTTGTGGTTAATGAGTTTGCCTTGATTTTTATCACAGTTACGACTGCCGGTAGACGTGTGGATTTCTCTGCTTGCAATAGTTCGATTCCATCGACATTGTCGACATTTTTTTCTAGCACATTCTAAATAACTTTAGAGGCAGTGGCGGCTCGTGACTTTTTCTGTTGGGGGGGCAAAATTAATACACAGTATTATGCTAAATTTAAAATTTATGCTAGGTAAAAATTATTGTTTCTTTTTATTAAAAATTTAGAAAAATGTCAAGTTAGAGGTCCGTTAGCCAGAAATTATTGATTGAAAATTGATAATTGAAAATCGATAATTTCTGTTTACCATCTGGAACCACGAGGAGGTGGACCTAATTCCAGACTTCCCCAACGGTGATGGGGCGAACTCAAAGTTCCTTTTAAATTCGTTGACATAAGAAATATAAATAAAATTTTGTTAATCGCGTGTCCAGTAGATGCAATAGGTATCCCCCACTTTAAATTATTTTCAATTTTTTTAATTAATGTTTCTATATATAAAATCCATACGTCTTTCTTTGTTACGAACAAAATGTTCTATAACTAGTTCATTGAAATTCGTGGTTTCTTGCACTAGTTTTTTTTCTATTGAACACATTGCCAAGGCACACAATCTTTCTTGACACATTGTATTTCGTAAAAATGTCTTTATACGTTTTAACGTCGAAAAACATCGTTCGCATTCACTTGTCACCATCGGTAATGTGCAAATAATTTTCAATAATTTTTTTGTTTCTGAAAATACGTCTAATAAATTGTTTTCATACATAAACTTCAAGAATGTTAAGGCACCATTTGCTGTCGAAAAATCGGGATGATTATAAATAACGTTTAACTCATTTTTTAACACATTAAAATTTAAATCATATTTTGTAGCACATAATTCAACTTCTTTTGATGGAAAATTTAGTTGAAAATATGAAAATAAGCTAGTCTGAAACAAATTTGCTGCTGTAATATAATCTGCTTCTAAAAATCGATCATTTATACTAAATTTAATATTGTCACAAATTTCTTTAGCAATTGCAATTTTATTATCATTAAAACGAGACCGCTTTTTTGAAGATTCACCCTCTTCGTTTTCTTCTCGGTAATAATCGTAGTCGATAGAATCTGTTACATGTTGTATGGCAAGTTTAAAAGAAGTAATGTTTTTCTGAAGTTTAATTAAGTCCATTTCGCGAATTTGAAGTTGGTTGAAAAGTATCTCGGTACTAGGCATGATTCTGTGAAAGAAGTATAACCAAAAATTAAAATCGTAATCTTCTAATGTTTTCCGTAAACTACTTGCCTTGGCAATTGTTAATTTATCACTATTTTTATCTTCCATTATAATTTGAAAGCAGTTAATCAAATCATTTTTAAAACTATGTACAGTATTAACTATTCGTGACTTAAAGTTCCATCTAGTCGGACAATTTCTTGGTAATCTTTTAGAAACGATATTATCAAGTATTTTTATACGTTTAGGAGATCTTGAAAAAACGAGGAAAATGATTCTAAATTTGAAAAAAAAATTCTTACTTGGCTGTGTGCTGATGCCGCCTTTTCTATAATAATTAAATTCAACTGGTGAGCATAGCAGTGAATAAACTGAGCTTTAGGGTAATGTTCCTTGATTTTTGCTTGTACCCCATTTTGTCTTCCACTCATAACCGAAGCACCATCATAAGACTGAGATATAAGTTTTTTTGGATTTTGATTGATTGCTGTGTGATCTGTTGGATTAATGAATCCTAAAAATCTTTCAAATATTTTACCTTTCAATTCATATCTAACGACAAAAACCAGCTGCGACTGTGAAGCTACATCTGTAGTTTCATCAGCTAAAATAGATATATATTCCGCTTCCAAAATTTCATCTTTGATTTAATTAATACAAACAGCATAAATTGAATCAAGTCGTTCGTTTTGTATGGTTTTTGAAAGACCCATAAAAACGCGATTGTTCGTTTTTTCTATATGAGATTTTAATGTAGTGTCAAGCTCTGCCATTAAATTAATTAAACCTCTGAAAATTCCCGGATTTGTAGAATCATGCGTTTCATCATGCCCCCTTAAAGCCAACTCAAAGACTCCACAAAATTTTATACCGTCAATCAGTTTACTTAAAATGTATCTATTCTGTTTTACCTGATCATTATGTTTCTCGACGTTCTCTCTATAAGCACTATTTAACTGATTTCTTATGTCTACTTTACCTAAGGCTGCGAACGATACGTTGAGATTTAAGTGTTTTTTACTCGAGCGATGCTTTTTTACTTTTTCTCCCAAATGTTTTAAATCCGTGATTCCGGTTTCAGTCCAAGCTTTATCAACATCTCCGTTATTCATAAGGGTACATACAAAACAGAAAAGGGCGTTTTTCGCGTTGCAACCACATAACCACCACTCACTTTGATACATAGTCTTATTAAATTTTCGATGCACGAGTTTGTCTTTAACTTTAGACGACACAGCAATGTCCAAATCGGGTCTTGGCGGTCCAACGTTTTTTATTAATAGTTTTTCATCATGGCTTAATTTATTTTCAGATTGTAGCCGCAAAATTCTCTCAATCGAATTCATATTGATATTATTGACAACTCTACAACACAGTTTTTTAAGTTTCTTAAAATCACTGCAAACGCACAGAAAACTAAAACTGAAGAAGTTAGCAAATTTCACTCGACCGTTTTGTTTCAAAATCGATGACTAAATCGATAAAAGTGTATGCAATCGTATATGCATTTAAGTACTTAAGTTGCAGTACATAATTAAGACGAAGCGATTACTATGCCCTGCCGAGATGTTGCAATATCGTGCATTTGTGCATATAATCGCGAAGATTGCCAAGTACGGGTCAATGAAAATATTCACAATTTGGCAACATGCAGGACGGGCAAAGGTGTATGATACCCCGCCGAGATGATGTCAGATTGTGTTCTGAACATAGGCAACTCGTAGGTTTCGTAATTAAATGCATTTTGATAATTAATAGCGCGAAACTATCAGATTTAAAAATGTGCTTTCATTTTGGTGGGGCATTGCCCGTTTGCCCTTCCTGCACCAGCCGCCACTGCTTTAGACTAATTTTTAACTTCTCGCAAACAAAAAAGATCTTTTATAAATGTGCCCCCTATTCTTTGGCATTAAAATTTTGCCATCAACCGAGGAATTTTTTGACGATCTATTGACTATTATAGTGTTCGTATATTCGGCGACCTGATCATAAATTATAATTTTAAATAAATTCTACAATCTCGTTTTAACTAAGTGTAAGTAATTAGTCACATTTTTAAAGCAAAATCGAATAAAAAAATTGTAGCAGACGACAGACACGATCAGACGTAAACGGAAGACGTATTTTTTCATTCTCTAGAATTCGCCGGATGGAACTAATTACAAAATTTGCTTATCCTACGGGAGGTTAAAATTATAAAAGTTGGGCACACACAAAAGTGATGTAATATTTGACACTCGTCTCACATTTGAGATTTCGTGGTAATCCTAATCAATGATGTGCAGATAAACATGTACCTACATCGTAAAGAATAAATTAAATAAATATTTAGTAAATAAGATAACATTTAAACCCTATTTGGGCTCTTACCTTGATCGATTTTGTTTAAAAAAGTGCGTGTTTACGCATTTGTGAAAAAGTCACGATGTCCAGTATTGAGAATTTCGTAACATTTTGTTGTATTAGCGTTATTGGTAAGTAACTAAAAAAATTATAAGAACACAGTCAAGCCGCTTGTTTTAGTGTTATTAGGAGTGTCTTTGTACCACAGGAATTACAATATAGTAACGAAAAAGAATTTCCAGTTACGGTAAATAAGCAACAATTTGCACTGACGTAAATTTGACATTAAAAGTTTTTTCTTTTAAATTTAGCTACTCCTGCATCTTACCACCTCACCCATGTTTCGGATGGTGGACCCTTACATACCAGTTAACAAAACCACCAAAAACAGCAGTACCAGCCGGTTCCACTTTGCAAGTATTTTGCAACGAAACCCACAAGTTGGACGGTTCAGCAAAATCTCTTTGTATAGACGGAAAGTGGTACCCAAAAATCGGAAAATGCTTAAGTTAGTACCACGATTATCACGTAACAACCTGTTTCAGAGTTAACTTTTGCAGAAACTTGCCCTTCTATGTTTTCTTCACCAATGATGAAAGTCAGGTGTTCCTTTGATAATAAAATCATGAAAAATTGCGAAGACCCCATTGATAATACTCAAGTCGAGTTCATTTGTCCCCCTTTTTACAAAGACGAGAGAAAGGCGAAATTTAAAGCGACTTGTAACAATGGACAGTGGAGCGAAAAAGTACCCCAGTGTGTACCAGGTGTGTAGAAGAGAAATTTTGATTCATTTTATCTTCGTTTTAAAAATAATCAGAATGTGGCCGCCGAAAATCCAAAAAAGGAGTGCCGTTAATCGTAAACGGTACCATTAGTACTAAAGCAGAATTTCCCTGGCAGGTAGCCATTTACCACGTCACAAGCTTCATATGTGGAGGAATTTTACTACACGAAAAACTAATCTTAACAGGTAATCCAAAAATTTTAAAATACAAAGCAAAATTTTAGCCGCGCACTGTGTATCTAATGTTGATGGTAACCCCAATCCCACCCACATCTACAATGTGATTGTTGGAAACCACCGCCGCAGACACAAGTTTGCAAGTGTTGAATATGGCGCTCAAAAGTCTTCGGTACTAGTTTGTCAATTTTGAAAAATTATAAGTTAATATTTTTTTAGATTCACGCTGTATATATACCTGATGGATATGCAGGTGGTGACAGATTTTATTACGGCGATATTGCACTCATTGTCCCGACAGAGACTTTTAAATTGTCGAGTACAGTACAACCCATATGCATCGACTGGACGACAGAATATGAACATTTATTATATAAAGCTGCGAAACCAATGGGGCTGGTAAGAACTATTTTGTGTACGAACTGTGTCAAAAGAATGGAACGTGAATAAAAGTGAGATTAAATTATTTTGACTAGGTTAGTGCATGGGGTTATACACTAGAATACAGTAAACCTTCAGATATGTTAAGAAGTCTGGAACTTCCCGTAATCCCTAGAGAAAAGTGTATGCATATGTTACAAGATGTAGATTATAGAGAGTACCTTACCCAGGATAAATTCTGCGGTGGATATTTAAACAAAAGTAAGTTTGTGTTTTTTCGTACATTTCCAGTACAGGTGTATTACTTTTGGTAAAATCCACTATAAAAATGGATTTTTCCATTTTAGGTAAATCGGTCTGTCACGGTGATAGTGGCAGCGGAATGATTTTCAATCACAAAGGCAAACACTATCTTATTGGAATAGTTAGCATTTCTTTATTAGCGCAAACAGAAAATGGAGGGTGTGACAGTCAAAAATATTCCCTTTTCACTCATGTCTCCCAATACATAGACGATTTTATTAGGGAGTATTACGCCCGATATAAACCGTAAGCATCTGCTTGTTTTAAAGCAGCCCCTTTTGCTACATATTATTCTAAAATTCCACAGTCTGGGCATCCCTCTAGTACAAACCACAGCGCAGACCACACACATTCACACTCATACTAGTACTTCAATGACAACCTCTACAACAACCCCCACCACTCCAGCAGCAAACAGGTACGTACGTTTGACCACAACGTGCCTACAATAACCCCACTAACTTGAAGCACAAACTGCCTTCTAACCAAACACCCAGAATTTGGCCAATGGTCGATTTATGTTGGTACCACTAATTTCCCGCCAGGAACTCTCGTGAAAACTGGTACCATTTTGAAAATAGTGTGTCACGAAGGATACAAATTAGACGGAAACAATATACTTGCCTGTGAAAATGGTACCTGGTCGTCTGACATTGGAAAATGCTTAAGTACTATTGTACAAAACTTATTTTTATGTCTACAATGACGATTTTAGAAACTTGTCCAACTATAGCCAACACGAAAGAGATGAATGTAACATGTTACTTTAACATGGCGAAGATGAAAAACTGCGTTGAGCCTGTGGTTGGTGCTAGTGTGACGTACCAGTGTGCTCCGTTTTACGAAGACGTGAAGTTGATGGATTATCCTGTGTATTGTGAGAGTGGGAGCTGGAAGCCGGGGACTCCCCATTGTGTTCCAAGTACGACTTTACTATCAATAGGTGCGACTTTATCTGTGGTGATAACAATTTCAGAATGCGGACATATATCAGTCAAGGACCCCATGCTTAATATATCTGATGGTACCATAGGTTCTCCATGGGTAGTGGGGATTTATAGACAAAATGATACCAAACTGATATGCAGTGGTAGTTTATTAAGTGACAAAATTGTGCTCACTGGTAAAGATTTAGAACAAACTTTGTGACGGTACTGTAACGAATGTATTCTAGTTGCTCGTTGTTTCGGAGATGTTAACAACGAAAAATTGGTATCTAAACAATACATTGTAGCTGCTGGTTCATATTTTTCTTCTAGAGATTCAGAAAAAGTACAAACTTCTAGTATTCATCAAGCTGATAATTATGGTTATTTGCTTATTATAGTACTAGAAAAGGAGTTCCAATTTTCACGAACCGTTCAACCGGTGTGTATAGATTGGGATGGAGAATTGAAGAAAGAAAACGATGGAGGCTATGTATATTCTCTTAATGTATTTTTTAATCGTGTAAAAATATTTTATTTGATATGTAGCTCAGTCTTTGGAACTCCAACGGTACTAGTATCAATTTTTCGCATAATTCTACAACTGCTAAAGTAAAGTTGGCATCAATTGAAGAGTGTAGGATGAATTTACCAGAAAAATATATGGATATGACAGACGAAAAATTGTGTGTTCATCATTCAGAGAAAGGTGAGCATTTGTGGGAAATTGTAGCGATATTTGTTGAATATTGGAACTTTCTTAGGTACTCCTTTTTGTGCGATGGATGGAGGTGGAGGACTCTTTGTGAGACATCAAGATAAGTTTCACATTTTTGGTGTTATGGATGTGTTAAATACCCAAGAAGAGTGTGTTAATCGGGAATATAGTCTTTATATCCCTGTTAATAACTACGCCAAAATGTTCAAAACAAAATTGAAAAACTAATACAAACTTTTTTAATAAACCGGGTGTCTGGAAATGGCGTTTTTTTTTAATTCGGTAGACTCTTGGATACTCATAGTGAATCATTTTGAAAGCCCATGGAGATTTTTTTGTAAATTATTTAAAACAATTTTGGGGAACTTTGATGTTCTATTTTTGTAAAATTCTACCTGATCTGTTCTTGAGTTATTTTTTTTTAAATTAATTAACAGCGGCGCGAAATCACATTTGAATAATTTGAATTTGAAAGAAAAAAAAATTCAATCACAAAAAAGGAAATTGTTAACCGTAGGCAACCAAATATGCACGTAGCGCTTAGGGGTAGTTTTGCATGATCATTGAGTTAGATGAGGGCTTGGTATCGCTAGGGAGCTTTTAGTTAAAGGGTTAGAGGGTTGGTAGAGAAGCTGCATGGCGTAGGGTCATTATGAATGTGCTTGTGTGAGTGTAAACACGTGGTAAGCGCTAGGTTTAAATTAGTTGGTTTGGTAGTTAATTAAACGGGAGAAAGCCTTTGTTTAACGACAACCAATCGTAACTTTCATAATGACACGGTTGTCCCCAACCCGCGCGGTTAGTTCTTGTGGCCTTTTAATCGAAAAAATGCGGGCTTCCGGTCAACGCGAAACACGTGCTGTAAATTTGTTTCATTGTTTGTAAATTCACCAATCAAGTTAGTTTTTCTTAATAGTCAGCTAGTGCAAAGACAGTTTAACAATCAGGATTATTTAAATAAACCCCTTGCTAGAAGATTTCATGAAATTCATTTAGTCAGGAAAACATCTATTTGTTTAATTACGAGTAAGTTTCTGGGTGCATATACGTAAGTGTTACATTATAACACTTCTAAATTCTTCACACAAGATTGCTAATAGTTCATTTACGGCAGTTAAACAAGTTCATTACACTGCGAACTGGCGGGAGGGGTTTAAAATGTTTTCTTCCCTTAGGCGGTTATCATCGTTATCATCGTTATCGGGGCATGCCCTCACCACGCTACAGATTGATTAATTTATCAAGGCATGCCCTCACAACGCTACAGATTGATTAATTTATCAAGGCATGCCCTCACAACGCTACAGATTGATTAATTTATCAAGGCATGCCCTCGCAACGATTTAAAATTTACATCACCAAGACGCTTTTTCCTCGCAACGATTTTAAAATTTATATCACCGAGACGGTTTTTCCCTCGGAGCGATGATTGGATATTTTTGTGTTTGTTGGGATAACCAGTTCGCGGTATTTTAAACCCTCAAAGTAATTGTTTTTTTTTTGAAGTAACCAATCACTTAGATCAAGACATAATTTAACATAATGTAAACTCTTTGTTTGAACCGTTGATAAAGTGTGGCAAATATCAATCTCTTGTAAATTTTGTTAACTTGCAATTTTACCACCTCATACAATATTTCTCAATCTCACAGTTTTAACTTCAGTAATTTTATTTGTTGTATAATTTTAATTGAACGTAAATTTCATGTTCTACAGTTTTAACCTCACATAATATTTCTATTTGTACAAGTTTATTTCACACACATCTTTTGTTTGTTTTGTAAATACTTTGTTGATGAATGTTTCTATCATATAACTTATTTGATGTCCAATTTTAATCTCACATAAGAATTATTTGTTGTTTAAAATTTCACAAGATTGTATGGCGAATTTAAATGTTGTTTATTGCTCGTTGAAACTTTAACACTTGTTCAGTTGTTGTTAACATCAGAGTTATAAGAGATTGAATATTTAAAAATGGAACTGAGGTTAAATGACGCACAAAACGTGGCAGAAGCGAAGTTCGGTTCCTAGTCGAGCTGGCGAGATTTATCGTGTCACCTGTACAAGCCCACAGGTTTGAATAGATTCAGGGGCGGCCGCCGGTTTGTAGTGCTCTCGACTTGGACCAATAGTCGAGATCCACTTGCGGGTCTGGCGACCGGAATGGCCTAGTCCCGCAGGGCGCGTTCGTAATGGACATATGCGTGTGGGGTAGGCTTTGTGATAGATAGAATCACCGTCTGGGGGGAGAACAGCCCCAGACCGGTATCCCCGAACTCCGCTTGTGCTACAACGCCCCAGGGGTACTTTTGCTGTGCTCCTGTTAATTACCGTCTCTTTTCTTAGATGGTATATGATTTGCCAAAATTAGTTTTATCTTAGCACGTACTAGCCCCGCCTACTCGCCCTCTCTTCTCTTAGAGGGTATCAACATTTGTCAAAATCAGTCTTATCTTGGCAGTTACTAGCCCCGCCCACCCACCCTCTCTTTTCTTAGAAGGTATGTCATTTGCCAAGATCAGTCTTATCGTAGCAGGCACTAGCCCCCCCACCCACCCTTTCCAAAAGTTAACCACCTTGAAAACCTGGCAAGTGTCTTATATGAACTTTTACGTTGTTGTTAATTTGTTTTAGGTAGAACCATGAACAGTTTAAAATCATAATATGAACTGAGAATTTACAGATCATTAATTGTCTGGTCTTACACTAATTACACTTGTTGAGACGGATTGTGGGTTATTGGTAAAAATCTTTGAGTTCAATTTTAAACCTAATTCCATCGAGACACAGTTTGGAGAAGAAGAAGCTTGAAGTTGGTTTTAAGCTTTTCTTCGCTGGAAGAGTTTTGTGAAAAAATAAACATTAACATTTTCATTCAAAAAAGTAAAAAACCGGGGTTTTGGTACTAAAGGCAACTTGAAAGGTTTCATAACAGAGTGTTGATGACAGCTTTTTAAGAACGAAACATCAATGTTCAAAATAGTTATTTAACAAACGAGTTGGTTAATGAAAACCGCAGAGATTGTTAACTAGCAAGTAACCAAAGTGTTAGTTACAGCTTTTTTCCATGATCGAAATTGATCAAAATCTTCAAATTTAGAAAATAAAAATTCAGTTATGCAACCAAATATACTTTTTTCTATGTCCGATTCTCCCATTATTTCAAAGTCCAAACTTGGTAGATTACAATCAAAACGAAACGATAAATATGTTTATGTGAGATAAGGGAAGAAAATATTTAAATTTCTGACACATTTTACAGAGAAACAACGAATTTTTGTAGAAAAAAATAACGGGTGTTCGCTTGAAAAATCACTTAGAGTAGGCATTGGAATATCATTTGACAAAAACGGCATGTCTGTTCTTGTAACATATCACATACAACCATACAACAGGTTATAAGGAATTCACGTTCGGTAGATGTAACTAGATTTGGTAACTTTTTTTTTTAAGCTGTGTAACTGCGGACATAATTGTTCTAGTGTATAATGTATTACTGGAATGTCAGAAAGTAGCTATCAAAAATGTGACATGTAAGTAAGTAAAGGTCAAATATCGAAAATGTGATGGTTTTGTGGTAATCTGGTGAATCTATTTTTGAACCAAAGAGAAAATCGCATCCCTCTAAAAGCCCAAAGAGCAACCCGCATGTAAAATTTTGAATCTTTTCCCTTCACTAGTTTTTTTCGGAGGACAAGCTTTGATGTCATCATCATGGATCCACAATTTCACCATGGATCCGTTCTGGTATATCCATGTCTCATTCAAGAAAATGAAAAGTAAATCTTCACCACAATCACGCAATTGGAGATAGGTACCGCCTTAGAAATTTGATTCTGGCAGCTATAACGTGTTTAAAATGTGAAAAACTTCGCCTTCGGAAACCTAAATTTATACGTGTATTATGTACAATTATTTTCAAAGCCAAGTGTTTTACCTCTTACAAAACAATAACGATTATATAAAACTTAAAAACCAATTGTAGAACGGAACCAACAAAGCATGTAGGTATATAAATCTGCGCAGTCGTCTTTCTGATTCTGATTATAATATTAACGGCACAAGCGCCGCTGTATCTGTATTATTTTAAAATTCGAAAAACACTCGACAACACTAGCGAACTTTACGGAGAATATTTCTGCCACCAGTTTAACTGTTTCCGTTTTACCCAATTTTTTGAAAACCACGAAATATTTCTTGTTTCTTTACCTGTAAAATGAGCTTTCTCGTGATTACTTTTATGGAAATAGTTTCCACGCTGTATTTAAGGATTTTCTTGAAACAAAGCGTGTTGAAATTAGAAAAACTTCGTTTTTTTTCCACACAATTCAGATTTGACATTTGAATTAGAAAATTAGACAGTTGATGCCAATCTTAAATTTCTAGTGATCTTAAGATTGCAACTTAACCACAGAAAAGTTTCTGTCAGTTACTTCTACCGAACGTGAATGCTTATTATGTTTCTGCCAAATGGATGTTATAAGAACAGACATGCTGCTTGTGTCAAATGAAATTCCAACGCCTACTTTGAGTGATTTTTCAACTGAACACCCGTTATAACTCTGGTACAAATTTAATGAATTTAGTTTCTGGTATTCGTAACAGTTTATTTAAAACAATTAATTTTTAACTCATAATTTGTATATTTGGTTGCCTATTCTAGCAAAGTTTTGCTTTTTTTAACCTAATAATAATATTTTTTGGCTTAAGAGATTTTAAAGTAGGTTTCATTTATTAAGAGAATTGTTGATACAGATTACGTTCAATACAGAGCGAGAAGTCTGAATTCTGTTCACTGAAACTAGGGAACTGTAACCAAACAGATATCTCTTCAGTCATAGTCAGTTCCTTTGAAGTATAAGTTACAGATGGCGCTGTATTTTCCCGCCTCCTGAGATTAAACAACATATGAAGAGTATTGATGATAATAGAAAAGATGTGAACTGAACTTTAGATTCGTGGTTATTTGATTATTATTACATAGTTTAAAAATTTGAGACTACAAGAAAAAATTAAAAAAAAACATGACATAATTTCAGAAGTGTTGTAGAGAAAACTCTGTCAACAATCAAAGTTATAATAGTGTTTTAGAGCTACTATCGAATCACTGGATCTGTTTGGTGTGTTAAAATAGCTACTGAATTTTTACATATACGTATGTTCAATGGAAGTGTGATGGAAGAAGGGCTGATTTTTTTTGCGATGAATTTAATGCTGGATCAAGCTGGCAAAACGAGCTCGGGTTTGAAAGAAGACGCACGTTATTTCTTTTATATTTGCTATTTCCAGTAAGTAAGATACATTTCACACGTACAGTTCATACATCAATTTGTCGAATAAAAACATGATAACATAATGTCTCCTAAATCCACATCATTAATTTTTGTTAACCCTATATATTACAAACAAAGTATGAATTTTGTGTGTAAGAGAAATGCCTCGAGTTTCGAATTTTGTTACAATTTGCTAATTTTTCGAAGAACTGTTCCGAAATGAAAATTTGGCAGTCGCACAACATTCACACGTTAATTGATTTTTCACTGTATAGCAAACTACAGCCGAAAACATTGTAATAGGAACTTAAAAAAAACTACGAAAAGCATAAGTTAAAAAATATAAATGGCAGTCGAAAATTTTAAATAATAAAAAAGATGGCGGCACAAAACTTGTATAAAATTATAATAACGTACAATAACTCCTTACGACTAACGTTACGTAACATATAAATAAGTTCCGCAGTCGGAACCAAGTTAGTAAAATATATAAAAAAGTTAATGATAATATCAAATATTATTTTCCTGGTTTTTCGTAATAATACGCAAAAATTCAAACAGACAATAAATTACAATAAAGCATAAACTATGAAAAACAACTGTAGTATTAACATATACAGTACAACTAGGAAAACTGAAAAAAAACATTGAGTGATCAACAGCGGCCGAGTCGGCCCACTCTCCCATAGGTTCGCAGCCGACTCGGCCGATTGTTACGTATATCATAGCTTAAGCATTAAATTAACGGAAACTAGTTTGCACGAAAATGGCGTATTGTTACATTTATTCGGATAGAAGCGCACGCGCCCCCCTCGATGCGGCCCTGGCTCGATTTTCCTATCGTAACTATCAACAGTAACATTTAACTATAATCTGTAACTATCATGTGCAGTTGTGCGGCTGCACCGACAGGGGGCGCACCACTCTAGCTGCGCTCACAAAAAACTTAGTTATTATTATATACGTATACGATGAAAAAGTAACTTAACATTAACTTGTGTTAACACAACTAACATTGAAATAACTATAGAAATATTTTTTTGCGATTTTTTTTATTATATGTGGTTTTAAATCGAATTTTTGACCGTGTTTTTGACAGAAGTAAGCCGAAACGTTTGTATTTCCCAAAAGTGACTTTTAGACATATTTGTGTATGTGTGTGGTGTGAACTCGGCCGAACCCCAATTTTTATCATATCAGTGTACTCCGAACCGGAATTTCTCTAGTGTAAGTGTGTGTGTGATCAGATTATTGTAAAAACAATGAAAATGGCCGCGACGCGTCGCGACCGAACAAACACGAACTGAAGTGTGGTTACCGAAATTTTTTGTATAGCATAAGAGAATCATTATGCGTTTAGACTATTGCTTTTTAACTGAAATTTTAAGAGCCGGCCCTGCACGCGGCCCTCTCTAGGGGCTTTTTGCTTTTTACCTTTCGTATAGATGACCTACAAGCGGACGGTTTGACAGCAATCGGGAAGGGTGCGCTATATGTTTTTGGGTCCCTTCGAGAGCGCCACCTGCAGGACCGTTTAACACCGAACTAAAAAGTCGAACTAAATCCGGTTAGAACTTGAAAAAACTGTGCGGAACTGGTCCGCACTGATGTTGTGTGGGCTATTGCAAAAAAAATTTCGTAATTTTACGATAAATATTTGTCCATTCGGGCACTAGACGTTAATATTTATGTAAAATACATTAAAAAGGGGGCGGACCCCAGTGGGCTTACTGAAAGTTTGTAGTCGGACGTGGTCCGATTGGGCTATTGTAGAATTTTTAAGATGGAAATAATTACGTTGACGTAATTATTCTGGTGGGCAAAATGTTTGTAGCACTTAGTGCAACCGGGCTATTGTAAGATTTTGTTATGTATTTTATCTGTCGAAGTCGGGGATTCACGTATTGCAGCGCCATCTGTACGCTTGTAGCGACGGTTTACTGAGGAATGTTAGTCGCGAGAGTTGCGCCAGATGGCGTGCCGTTTGTCGCTGATTGTGGCTTGTTTCACGGTGTGAAACCGGTTCTAAGTCGTCACTTTTTAGGAAAGATGGTGGCTGAGTGCCGTGGCTATTGTAGATTTTTTAACTATTGTCTATATGGCTATTGTAATATATGGGAAATCTAGTGATAGTGAGAAGGGTGGGGGCGAGTGGGGCGGGGCCAGACGGCCGCAACAGAGACATCTACAGACAATTTCGACAGAGAGCAGACTCTTACCGAAAACGTAGTGACTTCAAGGCTAAATTTGGAACTATATTTGAATTTGATTACACTTTCTGTCAAATCTGTACCGCAGACGCCCATATTTTGGACTAAAAAAATATTTTTGTTTAGAAATTTCGAAACTTTTTTAATTTCTAGTTCTTTGTTTGCATCTTTTGTTTATTAGATATATTTTTATCAAAATTTAAAATATGGATACAATGTTTTACCCTGAGGGTTTTGTCTTTTTGAAACTGTTGTTTATTTTTGATGGTTGCAAAATTGAGTGAGTATTTTTCGTCTGGACTCTCTCCACTCGCCGGCGCCCTTCAGACCGTGCCGGATTGCTTATATACAGGCTCTTACGTATAAATTATGTACATCAGATAAAACCACATGATCGACGAGAAACCGAAAAAGTGAACATTTCATTAAGTACTTGGTACAAAAATTCTGGATGATAATCGCACAGTCGCTCATACATTCATACCCTGTCGCTCACACATAAAAAAAATTAATACGGGACTTTGTCCCTTTTGTACTTGAAAAACGAGCAATAAATTCCGATTTTTTCTAAAATTAATAAAAAATCACAGTAAAAATTGCAAATTCATCATCATTTTTCTCTTCTCATATATTTTTATTTAAAGTTTTTTTTTATTTATTTATTGCTAATCTTTAACCGGCCAAATAACTAAAATCACAGTTTGAAAAAAAGTTCCCCAATTTGATTTTCACCTCTTTTCGCTTCGTTTCTTAAATGTTTAAATAAAAAATCGTACTTACATCGTATAATTACAAATTCTCTATCATTCATCCATTGTTTTTCATCTAAAACAATCTTATTTGTAATATTATTTACAACTTATCCCTAAATATATGTATTAAGTATTTCTTCTTCTTTATACCTAAAAACACTTACTTTAGGTATTTTCCTCTCAACACTTATTTACTATACATTGTTTAAATGATTTTGTAGTGATGCACTTTTAAAGTGCGCTTAATCATTACTTCATATGGCGTAGCCATTAGGATTATACTGAGCGCATTAACGTGTCGTTTAAAAAATCAACAAAAAACGAAAAATTTGGCACATTTTCTTCGAATATGGGTGCGTCAGAGAATCCGTTACTGTTGGAAGATTGATGGAGAGCTGTGGAAGAAGGCTGCAACCCTTTCTTGTACTTTACGTTAGAATGCGTTCAGTAATAGCTAAAATTTCATGGCTGTTGATTCTGCTGCTGGCTGCTTAGGGAGAAGCCCAGGGTTCTTGGATCGCTCCCGTGCAGCCTTAAAGCTTGCTCCAATCTCTGCTCCTGCAGCCTGAGGGCTTCGGTCAGGTCCGGGCTGAGCTGCTGCGACGACTGGCCCTGGTGGCTCTGGTAGTTACCTACAACAACAAAAAATATACCTAATAAAAAATCTATGCTTAATCGGACTGAGTACAAAAATTGTTTTCGAAATTTAAGCTGCTTATAATTTTCACCAAATTTACTACGTGGTATTAGAACGTGTAGAAGCTAAATCAGTAAAGAAATGATGCAAATATTCTTTTTTAATGTTATGTTGTTTTTACTAAAAATATTTTCAAAATTGGACACAAGAATTTTTCTAAGAATTGTTTAACTGAAAATTTGGGTCAGTGACCTTTGACGAATATAGAGAAAATCAAGTAAAAAAGTTGTACAAATACAACTTGAAGCCGAAACTATACAGTCAACAGAAGAATAGCACAAGGATTCCTTTTTAACCGTTTGTTAAATCATATTTTTCTCAAACACATTATCGAAGATGTAGGTAATACTGAAGAATATTAAGAGCAAAACTTACAAACTCTTGCAGCCGCTTTCAATAAACAAAATTTTTTTGCAAAATTCCGTCTAGTACCACACTGTTTATAAATATTATCCACAACATTTTCTGAAATATATAGAAAAAAATCCAAAAATTTGACAATAAAATGAAAAATTGGTATTAGAACGTGTAGAAACCCAATTAGCAAAATAGATGATGCAAGGATTCCTTCTTAGCTCTACGTTGTTTCTTATTTTGACTAAAGATATTCGAACCTCGTAAAGAAAAACACAGTAATAGACATATGGACGGAACCTGAAAATTATCCTCGATATTTTAATCAATAAAGGATTTCAGTACGATTTTTCTAAGAACTACTTAACTGAAAATTTGTTTTAGCGACATCTTCAAAACTCTGAACAATGTAAGAAAAATCAAGTGAAAAATTTGCAGAAATACAATTTGAAACGGAAACTAGATTTCACATAAACGTAACCAGCAGAGGAATCATGCAAGGATTCCTCTTCAGACTTACGTCTTTTTGATTTTAAATAATGATATTTTCAAAGATCTGTAGCAACTGAAATTGAAATGTGGAAGGGAAAAATTGAAAACGATCCTCAAAGATTCCACGTTAAAAGTATTCCTCCTTCTAAGGTTCACTTGAATTAGAACTTTTATCACTGTCATGCTTAAAATTGTGAAACATAAAAATGTTAAAATTATTTGACGATAAGATTTGAAACCGAGATTAGAAAATTGACAAATACAGTCAACAGAGGAATAGCACAAGGATTCCTTTTTAACCTTTTGTTATATCATATTTTTATCAACGACATAATAAAAGATGTAGGTTATACTCAAAAATATTTAAGAGGAAAACTTACAAACTCTTGCAGCCGCTTTCAGTAAACATAATATTTTTTCAAAATTCCGTCTAGGGCTACTCTGTTTATAAATATCATCAGCAACATCTTCTAAAATAGATGGAGGCAAATCCAAAAAGTTTTACAATGAAATAAGAAATTGGTGCTGGAACCTGTAGAAACCTATATTAGTAAAGAAATGATGGAAGGATTCCTTCTTAGCTCTAAGTTGTTTCTTATTTTTACTAAAGACTTTTTCAAAAATCCAAATTAAGTAGAGGAAAAAGCTGTGACATACTCATGAACAATATTTGTAAATTGTTCTTAATATTTTAATTAATTAAGCATTTCTGTACGAATTTTCTAAGAAGTACTTAATTGAAAATTTGTGTCAGCGACATGTTCAAACTTTTGAAGAATGTAGAGAAGACCAAGTAAAAAGTTGTAGAAATACAACATGAAACCGGAACTAGATTTCACACAGACATAATCAACAAAGGAATCGCGCAAGGATTCCTCTTCAGACTTACGTGTTTCTGATTTTAATTAATGACATTTTCAGTGATCTATAGCAATTAAAATTGAAGGGTGTAAGAGAAAAATCTGAAAAGGATCGTCAATGGTTTCAAACAAAACACTTGGCAGTCGCTTTAAATAAATATAATATTTTTGCAATTTTCTAAGAATAACTTAATTGAAAATTTGTTACAGATATAAACAACAAAGAAATCACGCAAGGATTCGTCTTCAGACTTACGTATTTCTGATTTTAATTAATGACTACTCAGAGATCTATAGCAATAAAAACTGACGTGTGCAAGAGAAAAATTTGAAAACGATTGTTAATGGTTTCAAACAAAAAGTATTCCTCACACTAAGGTCTATTTGGATTATAACTTTTATCAGTGACATGATTAAAATTGTGAAATTATTATAATAATGCTAAAATTATTTAACGATAAGATTTAAAATCGAGATTTGAAAATGCACAGAGGAATAACACAAGGATTTTTTTTAACCTTTTGTTATATCATATTTTTGTCAACGACATAATCAAAGATGTAGTTTATACTGAAGAATATTTAAGAGTATAACTTAAGACACTTGGCAGTCGCTTTAAATAAATATAATATTTTTGCAATTTTCTAAGAATAACTTAATTGAAAATTTGTTACAGATATAAACAACAAAGAAGTCGCGCAAGGATTCGTCTTCAGACTTACGTATTTCTGATTTTAATTAATGACTACTCAGAGATCTATAGCAATAAAAACTGACTTGTGCAAGAGAAAAATTTGAAAACGATCGTTAATGGTTTCAAACAAAAAGTATTCCTCACACTAAGGTCTATTTGGATTATAACTTTTATCAGTGACATGATTAAAATTGTGAAATTATTATAATAATGCTAAAATTATTTAACGATAAGATTTAAAATCGAGATTTGAAAATGCACAGAGGAATAACACAAGGATTTTTTTTTTAACCTTTTGTTATATCATATTTTTGTCAACGACATAATCAAAGATGTAGTTTATACTGAAGAATATTTAAGAGTATAACTTAAAACACTTGGCAGTCAAGTAAGAAATACAGTCAACAGAGGAATAGCACAAGGATTCCTTTTTAATCTTTTGCTATATCATATTTTTGTCAACGACATAATCAAAGATGTAGGTTATACTGAAGAATATTTAAGAGCAAAACTTACAAATTCTTGCAGCCGCTTTCAATAAATACAATATTTTTACAATATTCCGCCTGCTGTTTATAAATGTCATCAATAATATCTTCTGAAATGTACAGAGACAAATCCAAAAAGTCTGACAGTAAAATAAGAAACTGGTATTAGAACATGTAGAAGCCCAATTAGTAATGAAATGATGCAAGGATTCCTTCTTAGCTCTACGTTGTTTCGTATGTTTTCTAAAGACATTTTCAAAAATCTGAACCACGTAAGAAAAACACAGTAACAGACATATGGACAAAACCAGCAAATTATTCTCAATATTCTAGCCAATAAAAAATTACTGAAGATTTTTCTAAGAATAACTTTATTGAAAATTTGTGACAGATATAAACAACAAAGAAATCACGCAAGGATTCCTCTTCAAACTTAGGTATTTCTGATTTTAATTAATGACTCACTACTCAGATATCTATAGCAATAAAAACTGACGTGTGCAAGAGAAAAACTTGGAAACGATAGTCAATGGTTTCAAGCAAAAAGTATTCCTCACACTAAGGTCTACTTGGATTATAACTTTTATCAGTGACATGATTAAAATTGTGATATTATTATAATAATGCTAAAATTATTTAACGATAAGATTTAAAATCGAGATTAGAAAATGCACAGAGGAATGACACAAGGATTTTTTTTAACCTTTTGTTATATCATATTTTTGTCAACGACATAATGAAAGATGTAGGATGTAGGTTATACTGAAGAATATTTAAGAGCACAACTTACAAACTCTTGCAGCCCCTTTCAATAAATACAACTTTTTTTTAATGTCTTCAAGGGAAATAAACATCACCAGCAACATCTTCCGAAATATGTAGAGACAAATCCAAAAAGTTTGACAACAAAATGAGAAATTGGTATTAGAACGTGAAGAAGTCCAATTAGTAAAGAAATAATGCAAAGATTTCTTCTTAGTTCTACGTTGTTTCTTATTTTTACTAAAGACTTTATTAAAAATACAAACCAAAGAAAAAAGCACTAACATACAGTAACATGTACAAAAGGTGCAAATTGTTCTGAATGTTTTAAACAACAAAAGATTACTGCAGGGCTTTTTCAAGAATTACTTAATTAAAAATTTGGGTTTGTGACATGTTCGAACCTTTGAAGAATGTATACAACTTGAAACCGGAAGTGGATTTCGCACAGACATAATCAACAGAAGAATCAGACAAGAGTTTCTCTTCAGACCAACGTGTTTCAGATTTTAATTAATGACCTTTTCAAAGATCCATTCTATGTTTTAATTAAAATTGAACTGTGTAAGAAAAAAACTTGAACTCTACGTTGTTTCTTATATCTCAAACCCACTCACCGTTGTGGCGCAGCGGACTGCCGTTGTCCTGCTGGTGTTGGTTAAGCTGAGGCAGCGCCTGACTCATAGCCAAACGTAGCGCAGCTTCTGCTTGCGACCTGAGCAAAGCTTCCGCGTGCTGCTGCATCCTGAGCGCATCCTGCTGCTGCTGTGACTGCTGCGGCGAAGACATGTCCATCACCGATGACCGCATCGCGTCCATATTCCTTATACTATCCATGGAGGCCCTCATCGCGTTCATGGCGTTCATCGACGCCGATAACGTGTCGTTCGTGATAGGCGGCGTCGAGGGATTGCTGCTGTTGTTCACTTGGTTGGCCTGGAAGCGCAATTTTCATACACGGACGCCAGATTGTACGCACGACGTACCTGTGTGACGCCAAGTCGCATGGCAAGATTGGCAATATTGGCGGCCGCGATGTTGGCGGCGGCGGACGAGTCGGAGCCCAGCCCCGGGGGCACGCCGCCCTGCCCCACCATGTTGGCGATGACGGCCATCCGGTTGGCGTTGTGCAGTTGTTCTTCGACGTTGTACTGTTGGTGGAGGCCGTTGTTGCTGCGCAGGATCTCGTTCAGCTTGGTGGTGCAGTTGTTGTTGTTGTTGTTTAGGCCCCCGGCCTCCGAGCCGGCGGACGAGAGGCGGCCGTTGCCTGAGGAACTGTCACTGTGGGCGCTGGGGGAGGCGCACATGGGGCTTCCGCTCGCTGAAATTTTGACGTGGTTTGAGTATGTTTGCGGGAGAGAGGGGGTGCGACATACCTACTGTGAGTGAGAGGGATAGAGTTAAAGAAGGAAGGCGGTAGCCAATTTTAGTAGAGCGAGAGAGAAGATGGAGAGAAGAGGGGAGAAGTGTGCATGCATAGACCAGGTCCGGTGCTACTCTACTGGGTGCGAATTGGCAACGTGGTTTCAGTTTAAAGCCAGAACCAATATTATCTTATATTATTGGTATTACAAAATAGACGAAATAAACACAAAAACCAAAAAAAAAACAAAATTTAAAACCAAAAACAGGATCGGTAGCTCCTGATGAAGGTAATCACTTTTGGGGAATTTCCATTTAGTTAATAATTTATTTTTCTTGGAAAAATAAATTATGAGACCACCATCGTTTATTTATTATGAGGTTGACATTACGCAACAACCGATGTCAATATTATTTTAAATTTTATTATTTGCATGTTTTTCAATGTTTATCTTTTTTATGAACCTTGCAAACTCTTTTTTTTACATACAAAAAAAAGAAAATAAGTGGCCTATATTATACGTATTTAAAACTTTTAAATTTACTTTTTGTTTCTAGCGACAAATACAATTGTTAATAGGTTTATAGGACTGGAAAATATACATCAGTATAATACAAATCGTCAATATTACTAACAATTTAAGGCAACGTATCTCCAAGTAAATATTGGACACTACTAGATTTAAAAAATACACAAAAATATAAACATGTATGATTTTTAGAAACAGGAATTATGAGAGTCGATTTTCAAAGTTTGTTCTATGTTAACCGTTCTGTCCAATATTATTACCAATATTTATAATCCATAAAACCTAGTGTAGAAATGTTGGTAGTTTGTGTTTATCTTAGATAAGACTGTTTATAGTAGTAATAAACAGGTTCACCCTTTTTTTAGTGGTAGATAACGAACTCAATTAATTTCACAAGATGATCCAATTTTATTAGGTACAGATGTTTTACATAATCAAAATCGGTGTAACAAAAAAATGCATAAAAAACAAGCAGAACTCATTTAGAAATATAATTTACAATTTCCAAATGTACAGGGTGTTTCATTTGAAGGTTTCACACCAAAGTTGCGTGTTTTTTAATGAAGCGAATATACATTTTTAGCAATTTAAATTTTTTCAATTTCTAGTTTAAGATATTTATATTTTATTGGAAAAAAGGTCGTATTTAAATATTCACAGGTCCACCATTTTTAAAAATGGAGATTTGGAAGTGTAAACACAATTTTTTAATAACATTGCCTTAACGTCTACAAAAGTACAGAAAGTTTGAACTTATTTATACATAATTCAAGAAATAGATGCTTTAAATATTCTCATATTACTCCTATTTTTTAAAGATTTTTTTATATTGCACTGCATATAGTTCAATATTATTACAATATCTGAAAATTATGAGACTAAAATTATAAATAATATAAACACTCTGACAGCATAATTTGTTAAGAACATGTTTTTTTTATAAAACATGTCCAATATTATTGCCAATATTTTCGTATTATTGTGTTCATATTTTGTATTTCAATTAATGTTTAATTACTTTTTGAAGACTATTTGTTCAGTTTAGTATTGTTGCAGAATATCAGTCCAATATTTCTGGTATTACGAAATTTTATATATAAAAAAATGATTATGCTGTAGCCAATATTATTTCCATTACAATTACTGAGCTTAGAATCTGATTATTTTTTTAAGTTCTATATTATATCACTGAATCTTCCTGATCCCCAATATTATCACAAATATAGTCAATTTTTGTTAGGGTTTTTTTAATAAAAGAAAATAACGGACCAATATTATCGTAAAAATAATCCAACATTTCTACCCAAAATATACTCAGCTTATTTTTGGAAGTCACAAAAAATTAATTAATACTACTTTCTTGTTTCCAATTTAAGTGGTTTATCCAATATCATCTAGCCCAAGTGTCCCAACTTTCTTTCATCAAACTCACCAACATTGAACAACACAACACAAACTAACAAAATAAAAACTCAACCTCATTGTACACGTTCTGCCAATATTATTATCTACCAATATTTATAATTCATAAAACCTAGTGTAGATGTTTTGGAAGTTTGTGCTTATCTTAGATAAGTAATAATAAACAAATTCATTAGTTTTTTAGTGGTAGATAACGTACTCAGTTAATTTCACAATATGATCCAATATTATTACAAATATTTTAGATCCTCGAAATGAGTATAATAAAAATTGTCTGTTTAAAAAATTTTACAAATATTTCCAAATCTACAGGGTGTTTCATTTGGATGTTACACGACAAAGTTGTACGTTTTTTAATGAAACATATATATATTTTTATAACTTTGAATTCTTTTGATTTCCAGTTTTTAAGGTTTTTGTATTTTTATGCAAAAAAATGATCGTTTTAAAATTTTCAGTAGTGCAGCCATTTTTAAAAATGGAGGTTTGAAATTTTACATACAAATTTTTAATTACATTGCTTTAAAGTGCGTCTACAAAAATTGACAAGTTTTACAGTTATTTATACAAGGTGATTAAATTAGTGTAATTCATAATATTGGACTTCATATAGTCCAATGTTATTGCAATATTTGAAAGTTATGAACTATGAAACTAAAAGTGGAAATAATATAAAAAAACTCAGACATTGTAATTTAAAAAAACACGTTTTTTCTATAAAATATGTCCAATATTATTGCCAATATTTCGTAATATTGTTTCCATGTTTTATACTGTGTATTTCAATTAATATTTAATTACTTTTTGAAAGCTATTAATTGAGTTCAGTGTTGTATAAACTAATCCAATATTTCTTGTATTTCACAATTTTAAAGGCGGAATTAAGAATTCTACAAAAATTTCTTATTTCAAACAAATATAGGTATATAAGTAAAATGAATTTAGAATTGTTTCAATAGTAGCTGTAGCCTATATTTTCGCCATTAAAATTATTAGGTCTAGAATCTGATTAATTTTTTTTAGTTTTATATAATATCACTGAATCATCAAATATAAACAATTTTTGTTAGGCAATCTATCCACAGGAATTTTTTAAATGAAAGAAAATAGTCTAAATAATTTATATTTTTCTAGTTAGAGTCCAATATTATCGTAAAAATAATCCAATATTATTACATACAAATATTGTCAGCTTATTTTCGTGAATTATAAAAAATAAATTTATACTACTTTCTTGCTTCTAATTTAACTACCTTATCCAATATTATTTAGCCCAAAAATGGCCCAATTTCCTTCGATCAAACCCCCCAACATCGACTAATACAACAAACCAACAAAATAAAAACACAACCTCATTGCACACGTTCTGCCAATATTTATTAGATACTAATTATAAAATCCAATATCACAACTCATCCCTCTAATAAAACGATCGATTTTTACCTGCCCCAGCCATTCCTGTTAGGCCCAAAAGACCACTACCGGAAGCAGATGCGGAAACAGCCGCCAATAAAGTCTCTCGTTCTCTCCTTTCGGCGGCGGCTCGCGATAACACGTACTGGGCGGCGAACTGATGTTTGGGATCCATCCTCATATGTTCCATATGGGTAAGAAGACCTAAAAAAGAAAAACTTCATGAAAAAGGCGCTCGTCAGAATCGTTCTGATTCACAGTTGGCTGTGAGGCGCGCTCTGCGGTTGGCACTACACTAAAAAAAATTAATTCGAGAGCTTTGTTGCGGATGAGGCGTTAATTTGACGCAGCAGCGGTGCCAACTGCAAAACGAAAACCCGGCCTTCTGCGAGTCAGAATTTTCTCGGTCGCACGGTGTGGTCGCAATCGCGAAAAGTGAAAACAAAAGACACAACAAAAGCAAACATTTATATCCTCATCAGTTGATACTTAAGGGAAAGAGTGAATGAGCAGTGGCTTAGCAGTCGGCGCGGTGTCAAGAGTTTTTTTAACTAAGTAATGAAAAAAAAAAGAAAAAAATCGCGTCAACTGATGAGGATATAAACGTGAAATAAAAACGAAAAAAGGATAGAAAGTGACGTGGTACCTGACTCATGTGTAAAAACTGCTTGACAAACAGAACACGGCCACATTCTCAACGAACTTGATAATTGTGACGTTTCCGGATGACACGCCAAATGTTTCCTGAGGGATCCTTCATTGACATAATGCTTTCCACAAACGGGACAAGGATGATTCGCTGTCCTTCTCTTCGCTAAATAAGGATCGATGACGTCAACAGAGAGAGAAAAAAAGATCAAGCCAAGCAACCCCAAGGATCTTTATCAAAGCATTTTTATATTTTAGACTAGTCTAAGTCGGGGAGTCCCCGGAACGCAACACATTTCTAACCAGACGTTACACGTGTTAGCAACGTCTCGTTAGCGTCAAGTTAACAAGCTCAAACACCAACAAAGCGATGCACTAAGAAAGGACAGGAACCGCTCAAGCACTAAACAAAATATTGTTAGTAAAATTAACTAAACAAAAATAAATAAATTAAAAAAAAAACAGGAAACACGCCGCCCCCGCCCCCGTCGAAATTTTTCATCAGCGCATAACTGTTAGGAAGTTTAATTCTTTAATAATAAAGCAATACGGAGTTCTCTTTGTGAAAAGAAAACTTAATAAAATGTTTTTGTATCGGGAAGTTACAAATCCTTTCAAAGACGAGAGGGTGGGGGTTGTAGAAGGGGAAAAAATAGCTGCTTCTCTTTTCGGCAACGTATCAATGGCATTATGGATTAAAAATGGGCCGAAAGAAAGTTAATGAGTGTACAATTAAAAAATAAACAGCGGCGAACAAAAATGCTTTTAAGCTTTTGCCCTAATCGATCGTGATTTACAAGGATACAAGAGGGCTGTGAGAAAAAGGGCAGCCATTCAATTTTTAAGTGAGACTTGACGTTGATTTATAACGTTGGGCGAAACGTCCCGGACGCGGAAAAATATTGGAAACGGGATTTTTTAGAGGTTTGCGGTCGACATGTGTAAACATTGGGGAAAGCTTAATCGAACAACATTAAATGCTTGTTGGGAGACACGACGAGAAAGAGTGATTTATGGGGGTTGTTTCGCATTTTTTACCGCCGGAGGGAAGTGTGCAAGGTTTTTCACACCAACACCGAACTGCCGGGGTTGATTTAAGTCAATTTAATTGCTGTTCTACGATATAGCCAATTTATCGATTTATAATTCCGCAGGGAAAAATGTTGCTTCGGAGAAATTGTTCTTTATGCGTAATATGTTAAATATAAAGTATTGATATTTAAATTACATAGAGGAAAAGTTTACTAATTTTCATTAATTATTATTGTAGTTTTTGTGTTATGTTTTCATTTTATCTATAAAGCAACATAATTCAGCAAGCGATAAGTTGATATAATAATATGTTCCCCTACAAAACTCCTCGGTTTGGGTACATATTATAAGCAAAATATTCCCCATTCACACTTCAGTCAGGTGCTTTAATTCTGCAGTGCAGAGCTTTCGAGCTTAGAAGAACATTTATTTCAGAAATGTTCATATTTTGAATAGAACATATTTATATTGTACTATTTGAGATTTCTCGACTGAAATAGTTTTTGGCATTTTGTTGATATTTAAAACATTGTTAAAATAATTGTTCCAAATAAAAACTGACAAATTGAAATCTTAGATTTTTCCCAGAAATATTAAAGCCTAGTATAGATAAATAAATTGCATTAAGATAAAGATAATGTTCCTTTATTTTAATGCAATGTTTAAGAAAATATTCCTATTTTGATTGGAAAATATTGATAGCGTATTTGGAGTTTCTCACCGGATTCTTAGTTCGAATAAATAGTGTGTGGTGTATTTAGAAAATGTTCTTCATATCCGAACAAAAATTTGATGATATTTAGAACACTTTCAAAATAATTGTGGCCGCTGCATAAGTTGTATTTATTACATTTTTTCAATACATATTACAGTCTAGTGTAATATTTTCATGAAAATGTTCTTTGATTTTAATCCTGGAAGAACTGATATTATAAAATACAAAACAAACGTGATTTTATTTAATAAATTTATTTCTTTCTCTCAATACATTTTTCAAAGAAAATATTCCCTGTTTTGATCGGATTTTTTTTTTGAATAAATAGTGAATAGTGTCTTTAGAAAAGGTTCTTTAAATCCCCTTAAGAAAATGTTCCTTGATTTTATTCCTGAAAGAACTGACATTTTAATACCCAAAACAAAAGTGGCTCTCGAAAATTGAATAAATTCAAAAAGGTTATCTACATTTTTGCAGCTAGAAATTAACATGTTCTATAAAAATGTTCCTCGATAACAAAAATGTAATAAATTTCAGAATGATTATGTTCATTGCTCTACATTTTCCTATTTTGATGGAAAAATATTTATATTGTATTTAAAATTTTCTACCGGGTGCTAATTTGGAATAAATTGTGTTGGTATCTCTAGAAAATGTTCTTTATACCCCTAAAAATCTTGTGTATATTAAAAATTCTTCCAAAAATAATAGCTGTCAATGAAAAATCTAAGAAAAATTGAAGTTTGACAGCCCCTGTACAAACTCTATGTTACATAATTTTTCTGAAAACGTCAAAGTAAAGTATATTTTTTTAAGAAAATGTTCCTTAATTTATTATTCCTGAAAAAACTGATGTTTTAACATCCAAAACAAAAATGAATCCCGAAGATGGAATACATTAAAAAAAGTTATATACATTTTTGCAGCTAAAAATTAATATGTTCTTCTAGAGAATTGTTCCTCGGTAACAAAAATGCAATAAACTTCAGAATTATGTTCATTCCTATTTTGATCGAAAAATATTTACATTGTACTTGAAATTTTCCACCGGAATCTGGTTTTGGAATAAAAAGTGTTCGTGTTTCTAGAAAATGTTCTTTATACTTCTAAAAATTTTATTTATATTAAATATTCTTCAAAAAATAATTGCTGTCAATGAAAAATCTAGCAAAAATTTAAGTTCGACAGCCTGTATATCATATATTTTTCCCGGAAACGTCAAACTAAAGTATAGTTTTTTAAGAAAAAGTTTCCTAATTTAAATTTTGAAGGAACTCATATTTAAACATACAAAACATCACAATTATGCTCAATATTCGAAAAACTGTTCCTGTTTTGATGAAAAATATTTATCGTGTATTTGAAATTTCATAGTAGATTTTTTTGGAATAAAGGGTATAGAAAATATTCCTCATATCTTCATAAAATCTTGTTCATATTGAAACACTTTAATGCTGCTAAACTAACGCCTGGGAACATTGAAACTGGACAGCCACATTACAAACTATACATGTATTAAATTTTTTTCGGAAATATTAAAATCAAGCAAATTTTTTTTAAGAAAATGTTCCTTGATTTTAATTTTGGAGGAACTGATTTTTTAACATACAAATCAAGCGTCGGTATTGAAGATGAAATAGATTTAGAAAAAAGTATCTTTGTGCAATCCGAAATCAGCATGTTCTTCTAGAAAAACGTTCTTCATTGTTCGGAAAAATGTTCTTGTTTTGATAGAAAATATTTACTTTGTACTTGAAACTCCTCGCAAATTTTTTGTTTTTTTAATAAATAGTGTTGTGTCTCCAGAAAATGTTCCTCATATCTTCATAAAATCTTGTTTATGTTTAAAACACTCAAAATACTTGTTGTTAATGTAATGTACATTACAATTTTTCCGGAAATATTAAAATCTAGTCTATTCTTTTTAAGAAAATGTTCCTTGATTTTATTCCTGAAAGAACTCATATTTTAACATAAGAAATTGTTAAAATCAGTCTTATCTTAGCAGGTACTATCCCCGCTCACCCACCCTCTTTTTTCTTAGAAAGTATGTCATTTGCCAAAGTCAGCCTTATCTCAACAGGTACTAGCCCCGCCCACCCACACTCTCTATTCTTAGAGGGTATATCATTTGCCAAAATAGGTCTTATTTTAGCAGCTACTATACAGTTTTGCAGCTAGAAAATAACATGTTCTTCTAGAAAAATGTTCCTCGGTAACAAAAATGTAATAAATTTCAGAATTATGATCACAGTTCGATATGTACTATTTTGATGGAAAAATATTTACATTGTACTCGAAATTTTCCACCGGGTACTGACTTAAATAGTGTTTGTGTTCTAGAAAATGTTCTTTATACCCCTAAAAATCTTGTTTATATTAAAAACTCTTCCAAAATAATTGCTGTCAATGAAAAATCTAGGAAAAATTAAAGTTTGACAGCCACTGTACAAACGGTATATTATATTATTTTTCCCGGAAACGTCAGAGTAAAGTATATTTTTTAAGAAAATGTTCCTTAATTTGAATTTTGAGGAAACTAATATTTAAACATACAAAAAAGAATGAAACAATTTCAGAAAAAATATCTTTGTGCAGTTAGAAATTACCATGTTCTTCTAGAAACACGTTCTTCAGTTAAAAAATGCAACAAACATCACAATTATGCTTATTATTCGAGAAAATGTTCCTGTTTTGATGGAAAATATTTATCTTGTTTTTTAAATTTCTTAGCGGATTTTTTTAATAAATAGTGGATGCTGTCTCTAGAAAATGTTCCTCATATTTTCATAAAATCTTGTACACATTAAAACACTTTAAAAATTATTGTTTTTAATGTAAGACCTGGGAAAAACTGAAACTGGACGGTCACTGTACAACTAAGATTTTCCTCGGAAATATTAAAATATAGTAGGTATGTTTTTTTTTAGAAAATGTTCTGTAATTTTAATTTAGAAGGAACTGATATTTTATCCTACAAAACAAGCACGGGTCTTGAAGATGGAATACATTTAAAAACAAATATTTGTGGAATCAGAAATTAACATGTTCTCCTAGAAAACGTTCTTCAGTTAAAAATGCAATAAACGTCACGATTAAGCTGATTGTTAGAAAAAATGTTCTCGTTTTGATGGGAAATATTTATCTTGTACTTGAAATATCTGATATCTCCAGAAAATGTTCCTCATGTCCTCATAAAGTCTTGTTTAGATTAAAAACATTTTGAAAATACTTGCTGCTAATGGAAAATTTGACGGGAAAATTGAAACTGAACAAACTCTACATATATATTAGAATTTTCTCGAAAATATTAAAATCTAGTGTAATTTAAGAAAATGTTCTTGATTTTATTCCTAAAAGAATTAATATTTTTAACTTCCAAAAAAAGTGGCACTCAAAGATAAGGTAGGTACATTCAAAAATGTTATATACATTTTTGCAGCTAAAAATTAACATGTTCTTCTAGAAAGTGTTCTTTGGTAAAAAAAATGATCATTGTTTTGACGAAAAATATTTATGTTGTACTTGAAATTTTCCACCAGGTTCTGTTTTGGAGAAAATAGTGATGGTGTCTCTAGAAAACGTTCTTTATACTTGTAAAAATCTTGTTTATATTAAAAATAATTGCTGTCAATGAAAAATATAGGAAAACTCTATATTATATATTTTTCCCGGAAACGTCAAAGTAAAGAATAGTTTTTTGAGAAAATGTTCCTTAATTTGAATTTTGACAGAACTAATATTTAAACATACGAAACAAGCGTGGGTTTTGAAAATGAAATAATTTGAGAAAGAATATCTGTATGCAATTAATATGTTCTTCTAGAAAAACGGGCCTCATGCAGTAAACATCACAATTATGCTCATTATTCGAGAAAATGTTCCTTGTATTTTAAATTTATCACCGGTTTTTTTTAATAGTGTATGTGCTTATAAAATGTTCCTCATATAAAATATTTACATTGTACTTGAAATTTTCCACTGGATTCTTGTTTGGAATAAATAGAGTTGGAGGCCTTAGAAAATGTTCTTTGTGCACCTACAAATCTTGATTATATTTAAAACACTTTCAAAATAATTGTTGCAAATGAAAATCGAGGGACGTTGTATAAACTTTGTATATTATATATTTTTCTCGGAAACGTCTAGTACTAGAAAATGTTCATTAATATTAATTTTCCCAGGAACATTAAAGCCTAATATAGTCTTCTTAAGAAAATGTTCCTAAATAGTAAGTCATACGTTTTTAAAGATGGAAATGAACATGTTCTTCTAGAAAAATGTGCTCCAGTTAAGAGAATTACGTATGTTCAATATTTAAGAAAATGTTCTTCATATTTTCTAAGAACGTTTTTATATTTACGTGAAACAAAATTAAATAAGATATCTATTACGAAAATGTTCTTTGTTTTTAATATGTTCATGTAAAATGTGCAAAAAAAATCTGTACAACCCCCGTTTGTCCGTCGTGTCTCCCCGCCCACACACCATCATGCACCACACCTTCACCTCCACCAAAATTAGATACTTACTGGCAACCCCGGAAGCGTTAGGATCTTTATGCGTGTGCTTCATGTGTTCCATCAGCGCCTCTCCTCCTAAGAACATCTTATGGCATAACGGACAAGAAGTGGCATTCGGTCCTCCAATCAAAGCTGCATGTTGCTGCAAACGACCAATACACTGTTGACAAAAGCTCGCGTTAATCAAAAAGCATCGATCAAACCAAACCACACAGATCTCTCCTTGGTTTGGTTTGATTCGAACTTTTTCGAGTACGGTCCTGCGCCGCCAGATAGGTTAGGAAGGTTACAATAAATATCAAGTGAATGAACTGGGAAGGTTTTTTCAACAAGGTTCACCACTCCCTTTCTTTGAAGACTGGAAAGAGATGGGCGATGGTGGGATGACTGACTCTCACTAGACGGCTTCCCACACATGGTACATGGTACTGCGATTTTTACGAGGTTGGCATCTAAGGACCTGGGCAGGGGCGGACTCGTCCGAATTGAACTCAAACTAGACGCGCGAATTTTGCTCTAGGAGGGGTATTGTATTTTGAAATTCTCTGCGCCGCCCCTGGCGCGAACAAGCGTCCCAAATTATTTAAAACTTTATTAGAAGAGATGACGGGAGGGTGTTTTGGGGGTGGGGGCGCGAAAAAAACGAGATCTCTGGATACAACTCGAGTCAGTTCCTAAAAATTAAAGACCTTTTAACAGCAATCTACCTTGTTTTTAATTTAAGATTTATGAAGTAATCTGCGAGGTACGTTTTGGCTAATTAAAGTCGATAAGAAAAAAGATAAAGCGCGTTTCTTATGGCTTAGTTTAAGTTTTCGTTTGCTCCTCGTAATTATCATGCATTCTTTATCGCATTTTGAGTTCATTTGAGTTGATTTTTTCGTTTGTCGGGTTTAGAGGTCTGCGATGAGGGGGACAAGGATGGGCGATGGTACTAATTAAATATTAAATTGCAAGGAAATGTCAGGTTATTTGCTGTATTTTCCTGATTTCTTTTACGGACTTTTTCATGGCCGAGCTAAAAATGAGAGGAGTTTATCGTTATTGCTCTGGTTTTGTAAAAACGTGTTTCTCTGATTATGGCGCATCACAAACCTGTATTTTTGCCAACGGTAATGGTAAAATACGTGCTGGCAACACGACGGAAATTTTTATGGGTGCTGTAAAAACGGTGTTTTTATTAGGTGCTGAAAATATCAAAAATTAATTTTTAAACTAAAAAAAAAAATAGTGTTTTAGGTGGCACTAAATTTTCATGTAAAAGTTAAGTTGGCGGTGTTTTTGTTTCGCAACTGTCACTTCACGTAACTAATTATATAACTAACACTTATTTTTGTGCGCACCGAAATGAATAATTGTACTTAGTTTGAAAACTGTATTTTTGCGAATATTGTTTATTTGCATTTAATGAAATTCTTGGCACAAATAAGCTCGTAACAGGAATTCTTTCCCGCTATTTACGTATGGCAAAATCAAGTGAGCTTATGCAATATTATTATATTGTTCGTACCAGTTAATTTGAATTCTTTTATCAGGCAATCGTTCTAATCGAATTATTATTAGCAACTTTCTCTTTTCCAACGTTCGCCTTTTTCCCGCTGATAATTCCGAAATAAATCGCGGCTCGAAATCTCGAATACGTTCCTTTTTTTCCCCGCTCACCCTTTATAAAGTCGCAGTAAGAAAATTTATTTCTTCGGTTTTATTAAAAGTGTGAGAAAACCCCCACCTGTCGCCATCTATATAAAGAACCGAAATTAAAAATTCTTCGAGTAGAAATGGTATTGTGAAAGTTCCTCCGTCAAATAGTTAATTTCGTGTATAAATCACCCCTTCGCCCCCGGAAAAAATTTCGTCCGCCGATCGATCTGAGAAACACTAACACACTTTCAACCCTTCGTCAAAACAGAGAACAATCCCTCTAATTCCACCCCGAGGGCAGGGCCGGTCTGGGACCTGGATTAGGGCTAGTTTGACAAAAATTAAGTGCCCGAAAAAATGTTTTTGAAACCGGAACGTTTTATTATTGTTGTCAAATTGTTTCAAGGTAACGAATCACTGAGCTTTAAATGACATTTTAAAATAATCTTTCAATTTTTTTCCACCAAAGACATTTTCTAAGAAAACTTTGTAGCATTATTTTCTGTAGGACGTGATTTTAATTAACAAAAAAAGAAACAAAAAATATTAATTTTCATTTTTCCATTAAAGTTAAGGATTATTAAGAGAATTTTATTAGTCAAATTTTTCAAAACCCGCTTTAAGGATGACAACTAGACAATTAATTAGATTAAATTTAAAAAATATGGAACAAAATTTGACATATATCGGATATTTTACATTTGCTTCTTTAGTTCTACTAACATATGATCGAAAAAAAAACTTGTCAAGTGTGCTTGGTATTTTTTTATATCGCATTGCCAGCATTGGCGATTTCTGTCATTTTGTATGAGAAGTGTCGGCTTTATATTTTGAGGTTATGTAAATCGTAAATTAATGTCAAGGATAACTCATTCTGTATCAAACATAACGTCAAACTAACAGGTTTAAATAACCTCAGGATTATTAAGAAAATTTTATTTGTCAAAGTTTTCAAAACGAGTTCTTAGGATTACAACTGTAGAAATAGTTACATTAAATTTTAAAAATTTGAAACAAAATTTGACATATATCTGATATTTTAGATTTGTTTCTTAAGTTCTACTACCATATTGTTGAAAAAAAAAACTCATCAAGTGTGCTTTGGATGTTTTTTATCATATTGCTAACATTGGCGATTTCTGTCATTTTGCACGAGAAGTGTCACGTTTATATTTTGGGGTTATCTAAATTGTAAACCACTGTCAATGATAACTCATTCTGTATCAAACATAACGTCAAACTAATAGGTTGAAATAACGTCAGTCAAAAATATAGATATTGTGAATAAGTATATATTTTTAAATGCTCCAAACCATACTTTACATTTTCTTTTGTCGATCATATGGTATTAGTTGGGACGTCTATATGCTGCAAAAACAAGGTTTAATGACAATTTCCATCAAAAGTATTACATATGTCTACTAATTTTCAATACAATGCTATCATTAAAAAAAAACTTCGTAAACATTATTTTTAATACGATGTCAATGATGTTTAAAAAAAATGCAACAAAATATTAACTTTAATTTTTTCTAATAAAATCAAGATTATTAAGAAATCTTGTTTGTTAAAGTTCTCAAAATACATTGTTAGAATGATCACTATAAAATTAGTTATATTAGATTTTAAAAATATCAAATAAAATTTGACATATCTCGCATGAGAAGTATCAAGATTATATTTAGAGGTTATGTTAGCCAATGTCGACAATAACTCATTCTGTATCAAACATACCGTCAAATTGAGAAATTTAAATAACGTCAGTCAAAAATAATGATTCTACTACAAACAATTTTTTTAATAAATTTTATAGCACACTTGACAAGTTTTTTTTTCGCAAATAGGTATGGCATTAGCTGGGACATTGATATCCTGTGAAAATTTTTTTAAGAAAATTTAATAAACATTATTTTCTGTATTTTTTTTTATAAGATAGAATTTGACACATACGGGTATTTTAGACTTTCTTTTTTAAGTTATACTCGTACTACCATATGAAAGAAAGAAACAATTTCGAAGTGCGCTATGGATATTTTTTTAATTGTATTTCCAGCATTGGCGATTTCTGTCATTTTCGTATGAGAAGTGGTACGTTTATATTTCGAGGTGAAGTAAATCAATGTCAGTGATAACTAATTTTATACAAAGCGTAACGTCAAATTGACAGATTTATATAACGTCAGTCAAAAATAATAATCCGGCCAACATATTTTTTTGAAATAAATTCCAAAGTACACTTGACAAGTTTATTTTTCGATCATATGCTATTAATTAGTATATCGATATAATGCTGTGAAAACAACGTACGTTTAATGGCAATTTCCGACAAAAGTATTACATATAATTGCTAATTTTCAATATAATGTTATCATTGTTTAAGAAAACTTCGGAAACATTATTTTTTGTATGATGTCAATCGTATTTTGTTTAAAAAAAAAAAAAATGTAACAAAATATTAGCTTTAATTATTCTATTAAAGTCAACAATATTAAGAAATCTTGTTTGTCAAAATTCTCAATACACATTGTTAGAATGATCACTATAAAATTAGTTAGGTTAGATTTTAAAAATATCAAATAAAATTTGACATATGTCGCATGAGAAGTATCAAGTTTATATTTGGAAGTTATGTCAATCAATGTCCTTAATAACTCATTCTGTATCAAACATACCGTCAAATTGACAGATTTAAATAACGTCAGTCAAAAATAATGATTCTACTACAAACAATTTTTTTAATAAATTTTAGAGCACACTTGACAAGTTTTTTTTTCGCAAATATGGCATTAGCTGGGACATTGATATTCTGTGAAAATTTTTTTAAGAAAATTTAATAAACATTATTTTCTGTATTTTTTTTTATAAAATAGAATTTGACACATACGGGTATTTTAGACTTTCTTTTTTAAGTTATACTACCATATGAAAGAAAAAAAAATTGCGAGGTGCGCTATGGAAATTTTTTTAATTGTATTTCCAGCATTGGCGATTTCTGTCATTTTCGTATGAGAAGTGGTACGTTTATATTTCGAGGTGAAGTAAATCAATGTCAGTATTGTCAGTGATAACTAATTTTATACAAAGCGTAACGTCAAATTGACAGATTTATATAACGTCAGTCAAAAATAATAATCCGGCCAACATATTTTTTTCAAATAAATTCTAAAGTACACTTGACAAGTTTATTTTTCGATCATATGCTATTAATTAGTATATTGATATAATGCTGTGAAAACAACGTACGTTTAATGGCAATTTCCGACAAAAGTATTACATATAATTGCTAATTTTCAATATAATGTTATCATTGTTTAAGAAAACTTCGGAAACATTATTTTCTGTATGATGTCAATCGTATTTTGTTTCCAAAAAAAAAAAAAAAAATGTAACAAAATATTAGCTTTAATTATTCTATTAAAGTCAACAATATTAAGAAATCTTGTTTGTCAAAATTCTCAAAACACATTGTTAGAATGATCACTATAAAATTAGTTAGGTTAAATTTTAAAAATATCAAAT